TTTTTTTTTTTTTTTTTTTTTGCTTTCTTGCTTTATTCCAAGCGAATTTTATATACCGTATGAAAGGATGGCTTTGAGTGAGGGTAAAGAAACAAACCCTAATGCATGGCTGTAACAAGTTGCAGATAGACTTTTCGGCGAATTTCTCCGCTTCCCTTTCCCTTCCCTTCAGTTCTCTTCACCCATAGTCCAGTATTGTGATGGTCATTGGTACTTGTTTTCTTTTTTTGTTCTTTCTGTATTTTCACATATTTTAATTGTTAAGTTTACTACTTATCCCTTTTAGTTTAGTTTGTTTATTCTATCCTATTCTGATCCATTTTATTTTTATTTCTATATTTCCCCCCCCTTCTCTATCATCTGTTGTATGACTCCATTGGACTTTGCGCCATTCCCAACGCTTTCCTTCGGAGGTACCATTAGGTTTAAATTTCAGCAGAAGGGCTATACTTGGAAATGCACATCCCAGCTGAGCATAAGCGACTAAATTGTATCCACCGGTGGCGGGGACTGCTCACCAAAACGAGTATCGGATGATCTTCACGCACCAAGATGGAAGTGGGGTGGTCATCGGTGGGAAATGCCGAGTTTCTTTCAGTGGAATGTTCAAAGAGACAGCTGAAACGGGTAGAGTTCAGGATATGATTTGATACGTTATTACTGTTGTTTGTGTTCTTCTCCTATAGAGTCACTTTTAAGACGCTGGTGCTGGACGACAAGAATAATCCCCTCCTTCAAGTTGGAATATGATATCGTATGCCGGTGACCGTTACATGGTACTAGTACTAGTACTTAGTCAGATCTGAACAAAAGATGCATTTCACCCAAAGAGTGGGTCTGCATTGGGGCTTAGCCAACCCTCTTGTTATTGGTATGTTTTCTTTACCACATTCAGGTTTCAGTTTCAATGTCCATACCTTGTATGTATTCCGTGTGTCTGTATGTATGTACAGGATACCTACAGGATACATGAATTCATACATCACACCATACCCTACTTCTGTACCCAAGTGACAATCTGCAACTTCTACCATGAGGGTGGTAGCGACAGCCCAGATCTGGATGGTTTATTTTGGGCCCAAGGGTTACAACATTATTCTCTACAATGTCTTTCACATTTCAATCCTAGAAGCATGTCGGATGTCGTATCTGTGTGACATTTCCAGTGTTGCGCAGTAGGCCGCATCCGGACATACTTCCTCTCTCGACAGAATTCAAATCATCATACACACATACATCGAGTATTGTACAGTCACACACCCTGACACTTCTATTGGACCCATCCATTGATCTATGACACAATTTACAATGTATACTGAATACTAATCTGGTCAGTTCTTATAACGTTCACAGGTCGTATAAGGGACTGGAAAAATATAAAAATAAATAAAATAATAGTAATAAAAAAAATATAAAAAAACAGACTTTTTAGCCAAGGCCTGGGTGGAAACTAGATGCGAGTGCCAATCGTCTGACAGACTTGAGAACCATTCGAAACTCCACCAAATCAGGTCGTAGTCGCCTCAGCCACACTGTGTCTTTCGGCGCTTCGGATCAAGGCCCTGGGAAGGATCTTCAGGCTGGATGTCGTTATGAGAGCCCATGAGTGCTGGGAGGTATCTTACTGATAGATTACCTACTGTAAAATAACTTGGGGCTGACATGTTTCTGGGTCAATCCATCCATCAACACTCAACTGCCAGGCTCCACTTTTTATGACGATTCTGGACACATGCATGCTGCTAACGCCCTAAACTCCAGCGAAGGAGGGTACCAGCTGAGATCGGACGGTGAATCCGGAGAGTGGCTAAATTCTGTGCTTCTGTGTGTACGTATGGACTCGTTCCATACGATCGGGATTTCATGTCTGCATGAGAAAAACTCGCCGGGCATCCATAGTATCTATGCGCCCAGAGTTGGTAAGCAGTCGTAGGGTAAACTGATACGGAAGAAAAGGCTCCTTGTATTTCTGTAGGCAAAGTATATCAACGAAGCAGTGATGATCTAGTTTTATTTTATTTTTATTTTATTTTCTTTTTTTTTTATGATAGAGCGTTACTCTATCTTTTTTTTACTCCATTTATTTTCTTACTTTTTTTCTTCTTTGCCTTTAGTGAGACCCTGTATAATAACTTTTGAAAAGCAACGCTATTAATACACCCTATAATTTTTTTTCTGATCTCTTTTGTGTTCAGAATCACCGACGGTCATCCTCTTCTCTTTCCCTTTCGGGTCAGCCCTCTTCCCGCCCCTCCTCGACTCACTCTTCTCTCTCTCTTCGCGCCCTCTCTCTGTCCCTCTTGTTATCTCTTCTCTCGACCTTTACGTCTCGCTTTTTCTTCCCCTCCATTCTCACTACTAGTCTAACAAAAAAAAAACTTTCTTTCATTTACATTCTTTACTTCCGTCATTTTCTCTTCTCTTTTGCGCGTTCGCCTTCACAGTAATTTGGACCTCTCTACTTCCCATATCTTCTCATCCCACTCCACTGTGATCAGTACTGTGGGTTTCCTTACTATATATCATTACAGACGGTCTCCATCTACCCGGTCAGGCGCTAGTCCAATTTTTTCGTTCGTCAAATACTACTAGAGCCCGCTCTCAACTAGTGATCCCATCTTACCGCTGGAACCATTTACTATATCGGAGAACCACTTACTGTGGGCGGATGTCGCCTTTATGAAAGTTGTGCCTTCTTTTTTATTTCTTTTTTATAGCTCTTCCTGTTTCTCGTTCCTTCTTTTTCAATATAGTATCATTATCGCAGAGTCACAATGCCAACGGTCCTACTACCGTCGTCGGCCGCTGCCTTTGCGCCGCGGTCTTCACCGAATGTGGTGTTGAACACCAAAGTCGAACCATGGCTGACAGCAACATTGAAACGAGTCAGCCGAGTTAAGCGACCTTTAAACAACGTGACGCAACATACAAAGTGTCTGACGGAAACCTTGTCCTCACCAAACGCTATCTGGACCCTCTGCTCCATGATGTTCCCCAAGGCCCCCGAAGCAGAGCTCCGAAGGGACGAGAACCCCTGGGTGGAGGCATTCTTCAACTACCAGATGATCCATGTGGAGGCTTACGTAGTGCATGTTGACATGGTGTCTCGAAATGAGGTCGCATTCAAACTGACCCCGGAAACAATCGAAGCTTTGGTCGACTTCCACAAGGAGGTTTACTCCGTTGACACTGCCGCGAGTACCTGGGACTGGCCTGAGAAGGAGAGCCAGTTGAAGAAATTACAGGAGGAGTTTGTCCAGGCTGCCAACAAGTTCGTCTATCGCACCAGCGCGCAGGCCCTTGAAGGGCTGGAGGAGGACGGTGCAGGTGAGCTGCTGGGGGGCCGAAGTGAGGAAGCAAAGTCCGCGATCACCAGCCTGTTCGTTCCGTTGCTTCCTCCACCTCCACGTGTGCTCGACGTGCTTCGTTCGACACCTGTTCTACCCAGTTCCACTGGTCCGGAGACATGGTGGCACGACCCTATGCAGCAGCCTGTGTCGATGGACACGTGGAAAGTACTGCCATCCAGCCCAGCCACGGCCAGTACAGGAGATTCTAATCCGAATATATGGACCAGCCTGAACAACATGAATGAGTTCTCCTATGCTTCTCCGACACCGTCCTACAGCCAACCCTACACTACTTCGCCTTACAATGCGACGCAGTATTATAGCACCGCTGCCACGTCCGCCGCACTTGCCGCACTCCCATTGCCAAGCATGTTGGTACAGCCCTGCAGCACAGCGGCGAATATGATCGGATTTGGGTGGGGAGACCGATATCAAGACTTTGCGCTGCCGTACGGGACAACCATGTAATACGCCCATGGAACCAGACACTTGACGTTGATGGTCTCCCTGACTTCGCGTAATTTTGGTTTAGATCCCGGAGTCCCTGTCGACAAACCACATCTAGCTCGCCTGTACCCTTCGAGCCCGAGACGCACCAACAAGAACGACCGGAAGCAATATCCCCCGCTATACAGACAACAGACTAATTGGCATCAGTGACGGCGTTAACCATTGACGATTCTGCGACCATGATACTCCACTTCCTTTGCATAGCCATCAAAGAACATAATATCTTCTCTCTTTGCGATTGTGACTACTTCTTTGTGTTTGTTTGTTTCTCTTTTCTTCGAGCCAGCGTTAGCGTTTCGTCTCTCCTTGATTCTTTCGGCTTTTGTTCTCTTGCATGAAGAAGCGGCGGGTCGGCTATCTGTTTTGTTTTGTTTCATGAGAATATCCCATTGTTCAGATCCCGTTTTATATGTCATGAAAGACCTGGTTAGCCTCGCGGCTTGGGATATGATTTGGATGAGAAACGCTCGTTTTTATTTTCTTTCGTCGCCGCGTCCGTCCAGGATAGCTTGATCGATGGTGCTATGGCGGGGCCTGGAGCCCTCCTCTGTCCTGGACATCCTCTTTCTGGTACAGGCTACCGGACTGGTCATCTGCTAGGTCAGATGGAAGAGGTATTGATCGCGGCGCTGCGAGTTACATTATCTTTACGTTCGCAGGTTTTTCTGACAACACAGACCACATCGGTGTCGACAGAACGGTGGAGGTTGGATTACTCGTTGGCCCGGGACGGCTGTCTGTGACAGGCGCCCGTTGTAGCTGAGGACCGTCCGGTCTGTGACCTGATGAGACTTAGTCCCCGAGTGGACTGATTTCTATTTGATCTGTTTTCGCCATGTGGACTGTGTTTGTCTATAGGGTCATCTCCTATCTTCCAGGCTGGATTCTGAATACCTGGATAAGCTCGTTCCAACCCCTCTCATTGAGTGAGAGGTGAGGGACGAGAATCGGATGCTGGTACAGTCTTGCACATGCTTGCTGAGGCGGGTCCCTCATTCTGTTCTTTTGTCCTTGACTCTCGTTATTGTCGTATGCATTGACACTTGAGCATGATGTAACTAGTCTGGATAACATAATTTGAAAAAAATTGCAGGACTAGCATAAGTGTCTTTTCTCTTATCTGGTAGTTTGATATTATACTACGAATAAACCCATGCTAGTATGAAATAAGATGATCATAAACAAGCAATCATGATAATACTTATTGATGGTCATGACTTATTCTTGGCTCAAGTGCCGATAACCAATGACGTCAGTGTCCGGGGAACTTGAACTCCGGTCTTTCGCTGCCTGGCATGACGGAGAACTTCCTTGAACAGGCTTTGCATTTATCTATGTGTATATCGACCGATTGAACTGCAATATAATCCAATTAATTAATTCATTAATTACTACTACTGTTGATGACAATCATCAGCCTCACCACCGACAGTACTGTACATAACATACATACAATACATTCCCACGCCATCATCCACCGGTGATCGACCCCCGAAAGCATCAAATGGCCGCCCTCCAAGAAGCCCTCGAATGCCTTGCCCCAACAACCTGGGACGAAGTGCCCACTGACCCCTCCGCCCTCCGCACCTACATCAACGACCTCTCCACGAAAGCCCACCTCATCGTCAACTCCGTCCCAGAACCCCCTCCATCAACCATCGCCACTACCACCCACCACGTCAAACCCTCTCCCGCCAGACTCAACACCACAGACCCTACCCTCCAATCCCTCCAACAACAATGGAGCAAACCCATCAAGGTTTCCAGTACAAGAGACAACCCGCTCGACCTTCACATCCACAAACTTCCGGGCAGCGATGGCAAAGGCCACTGGTTCGGTCGCCGCAGCGTCCACGAGGGCCTTCCCTTCTCTACATGGCAGGCGAAACTCTCGAGTGAGATGACCGAGACGCTGAAGGCGAACCGCGAGCGCATGAAGCATGGCCAGACGCCCGACCAGTCGGTGCGTGGCATCGGGGCCGAGAAGCAGGTCGAGACTATTGAAGTGAAAGATGAGAGTGGGGAGAAGGTGTTGGCGCATGTAACTGTTTTTCATGTTTCCGCGCAGTTTCCGAAGCCCACGACGCCGAGGGATTTTGTCTCGCTGATTGTTAGTTGGGAGGTTGGGGCTGAGGAGGGGGGACGGTTTTGGATGATGGTTTCGAAGCCCGTTGAACATGCTGAGGCGCCGCCGTGTCAGGGGTATATTCGGGGACAGTATGAGTCTGTGGAGTTTATTAGGGAGATCCCGGCTAAGAGGGGAAGTGATGGTGATGGTCAGGGTGTGGTTGAGGGGTCTAGGAATGGGGAACTGGAGGCGGCTTCGAAAGAGAAGCAGGGAGGTAATGGTAAAGAGGAAGAGAGGGCTGAGGAGGCGAACCCTGTCGAGTGGATTATGGTGACGAGAAGTGACCCCGGGGGTAATATACCTCGGTGGATGGTAGAGAAGGGGACGCCTAAGAGTATCTGTTCGGATGCGGTCAAGTTTCTGGACTGGGCTTGTCGCGATCCCAATTCGCCTGCTGAGCCAGGTATGGACGATGGCCGCCAAAGGAGACGGAGAAACAGTCTGCATACGGCCGGCGTGGAAGAAACTGAAGATAGTGAGATCAGCGATTCTGAATTTTCGGATACCGAGGTGGAGCATCATGGTCTTATTGCCAGCTTTGCCTATTTACTCAACGCTGGGTTGGAGCGATACGCCCCCCAGGCTGTGCTGGACTATATACCAGGTCACTCACACCATTCATCAGGAGATATGTCTGATGTTACTACAGAGGACGTAGAGAGAGCACCCAGGTCTAGTGGGGATCCCGTCCCGCAAAGGGATGCAACAGAGAAGGACAAGGATGATACGAGGTCTCAACTGTCGCAGGATAAAGCGTCCTCGATAAACTCCGGCCTCGCCACTCCCATCGAATCTGGACACCACAACATCCCGCCAGTGGACTTGATGAAGATAGAGAAGAAGGATGGCAAGCTAACCTCGCATGAGAAACAGCTTGCTAAACTAGCCCAGCGCAAACGTGAAGTCGAGGCCCAACTGGACCGAGTACGAGAAGACATCAGATCCCTCCATCTACCGTCCCGTGAGGAAGGGTCCAAGAGAGACAAAGCATCTGCAGCTGCTTTGGCAGCCGCCGACGCTAGCAGTGATCAAGTGAGCACCAGTGCGGGCAGCAGCAACCAGCGACAGACGCCAGAAAGCCGCTCGTCGAGCAGTAATAACCTGACCCATCCTGCAAGCAGCCGCGACACGGCGAAGATGCACAAGGTCGCTTCGGGCTTATTCAACGAGGAATCCAAGCTCCTCAAGCAGCTAGGGAAGATTGAGAAGCATCAGCTCAAGGAGGCGTCAAAGATCGAGTCAAAGCAGCGGAAGCAAGCAGACCAGGAAGAAAAATCGAAGTCTCGAACAGAGATTGATATCTTGCGCCATGAGAATGAACATCTGAGGAAAGAGCTCGAGCGGCTTAGGAACGAGCGACGACAATGGCTCGAGTTGATCGCGTCATTGCAAACCGAGAACACGAACTTGGCGGCGGCAGCTGGAAAGACGGAAAAGTGATGCTTGAAGTTTGACCTGTAAATATAGTTTTCTGATATACTGAAAATTTAGCATGGCCATGTTTTGCATATGTATAAGAGTTGTTTCATTCGGACACCATATGGATGCATACTCAGCCATTTCACTAAAATCATGCAACCGACGCCCTCGAATCATTATAGTACATGGTAATGAACCAAACAATAAGTCCAGCCTAGAGTGTACAGCTCATACATCCAATTAATCCCACCGAGCCGTCTAAATTACTCCATAACTCCCAAGCGATCAAGGACAACGGTAAACGGACCGCATTTCAACCGGCATCAAGCAGTACCCACCACTCAGTCCCAGTATCAGCATTGACATCAAATTCAGCCCACAAGCCACCAAGCAGAGTCCTCACCTCAGCGAGGGCATTCATCGTCCATAAACCTCGACACCACAGCCGATAATCATAACACGATCACAACAGACAATCATCCATGAAACCCAAACCTTCAAAGCGCAATCCATTTACTCCTGCGTCTAAAGGTCCCAACCATCAGCACACATACACCCACACATAAACATAAACATATAAACATACAACCCTTCCCCCCCAATCCCCCAGAGAAAAACTAAAAAGAAAAAGGAAAGGGAAAACTCACCTCTGGCGGATTTCCAGCCCCCCTAACCATCTTCTCAATAAACATAGCCCGGACCTTCTCCTTCGGCTCCCCCATTCCAACAGCCATATACGACAACATCGGTGGATGTCCAATATACGAAGCGTAGCTGTCGCGGATGATGTTCGACGTCCATTCGTACTTGGTCGTGTCTGCGTGTCCCGTACCCACGTACCGAGCCTGCATGGCCTCGAGGTTCTGGAGCGTGCGAAGCTTATCGGCCATTTTGGTAGAGTTTTATTCACGGCGGTTTGTTGTTTTCTTAGAGTTGGAGGTGTGTTGTTGTTTCTGGTTTCTGGTTTGTCTGGGGGTTGGATTTGAGTTGGGATTGGGTTATCGGCGATTTCTTTATCGGATGGATTGTATATGATCACGTGATGAGGATATATATAAGAGATTTTGTGGGGTATTGTATGAGATTGTGTGGTGGTCTTGTAGCATCACAGAGTCTTTTCTCTTTCTACGGTTTTTTTTTTTTTTTTTTTTTTTATTTAGCTTAGGAGTAAGGGGGTCCGGATCTAGAAATTGGCAATGGAGGATTCAGAAACGAAAGTACCGTTGGCATGTCGAATTGCGAGTTTAGTCCATGCGCATTTTGATGGCTTGCCTGCTCGAAGTAAGCCTAGTGTTCGGTCTGATGGGACGAGGGAATGGATTCCTATGTCGGGGATTGTGATTGTGAAGGGTATGTAGATTCTATTTTGATTTCTGTTTGAATTATATCTCTTGGTTTTTTTTTTATTTTCTGTGCTTGCTTTTTGTGGTGTATAATGTATAGACTAAATCTAACCATACCGATGTTGTTAGGGGAAGATACACCTGATGAGAAATTGACTTGTGTGGCTGTTACGTATGTTTCACTCATCTCTTTACTTTTCTACAGAGAGAGAAACAAAAAAAAAAAATTTAAGGTAGAAATAACTAACGATACGCAGATCCGGGGCAAAATGTCTCTCAGCATCTCAAGTCCCCAAAAGCAAAGGATTAGTCCTCCATGACTGGCACGCTGAGATCCTCGCGCTTCGCGCATTTAATCACTGGCTGTTATCCGAGTGTCGGAGTTTTATTGCTCAGGAACGAAGTCAGAGGTCCTCATTTGAGAATGATATATCTGATGAGAAGAAAGAGAAAGAGAAAGAGCAATTTTCTCCATATATCCGACGACGACAAGGTCCCGAGGACTCAACGGCAACTCTACCGCCGTTTGAACTCAACCCGGAATTGAAAATTTACATGTACTGCACCTGTGCGCCCTGCGGAGACGCAAGCATGGAACTCTGCATGGCGGCTCAGGAGGACCCGACGCCGTGGGAAGTTCCCACGACGACAGCAGACAGTGAGGATGGGGAACTTCTAGACGGCAGGGCGCATTTCTCGCGACTGGGGATCGTGCGGCGGAAGCCGTCTCGTGCGGATGCCGAAGCTACGCGGAGTAAGTCGTGTTCGGATAAGTTGGCCCTGAGGCAGGTTTCGTCGCTGCTGTCGTTTGAGAGTAGTTTGCTTGTGGCCACGACGGGGAATGCCTATCTCGAGGGGGTTATTATGCCTGAGGGGGAGATTAGTCGGGTTGGATGTGAGAGGTGCTTTGGGGAGGATGGACGAATGAGTGAGCTCAAGGGGAGGGTTTGGTCCCCCGCGGATGAGAAAGCAGTCGAAGAGCGAGGATATGGATGGCGGTTTCGACCATTTAGGATCCTGTCGGTGCCTACTGGGCTCGTTGAGGAGCTTTGGGCGTTCGGAAAGTCGGATCCAATGGGGGCATCTGCGTCGAGGAAGAGTAAACCTGCTGTTATTTCGGCTGTTTGGGCGGCGGCTTCATCTGTGGCGGTTCCTAGTGTGGTGGATAATGGTGCCAAGTCGTTGCCTAAATTACGTGGTTCTCGGACGGGTTTGTATGAGACCATTATCAATGGAGTGAAACAGGGGAATCGGGCGTCGGAGCCTGTGGCACGGGGCGCTTCTGCGTTGTCAAGGGCGAGGCTATGGGGCCTATCTAAGGAGATTGTGCAATCTTGCGTGGATGATCATGACCAAGAATCTGGCGTCGAGATCGGTGTGGAAGAAGGGCAGTTGTCCCTGGGATTGGATGAGACGAGGCGGATTGCTGAGGCCCCGACATATCGGGAATTCAAGAAAGAGCCTACGGTTCTGACCGAGTCACTCGAAGCACGCAGAAGTGCGATACGAGAAGCTAGACGAGTGTTGAGTGGATGGGTCCCTAATCCAGGGGACGAGAATTGGGGATTGGAGGTGCTGATTGATCCCAAGAAGCGGAAGCGTTGATCCAATGCATGGAATTTATAGCAATGAATATCATGACCATAGCTCTAGTTGATGTATGTATTAAAAAAGTAATAGTTATGAATACATAGAACGAAATGACTAGAATAGATCCAGAGTCTATCCCAAACATATCACGAACTTTTGTTTTATTCACTCCACGGAAACAGACATCAAGTATACACCGCGGGCTCTGCTTAGTAGATACCAGGGACGATGCGACTGCGGACAATAGACGTATAGCGATTCCAATCAGCACCGTACTTCCTCTTGCACTTTTCTTCATCGCGTCTCTCGCGATGGATAAGCAGGACGCCAAAATAGATCAAGAAGAAGTAGGTGTACACCATTCCCCAACCACGGACCTCGGGTGTCTGTACGACCTGCTTCTGCACGTCGCCGGTCTGGTTGATACTTTCAATAATAGTATAGCCGGCAAATCCAGTGGGCAGCGAATACGCCCACGACATCAGCCAGTCGCCCAAGTAATTGATATGACGCGCCATGCCCCACCATCCAGAAATCATCAGCTTGGATCCACTAGCCGTTTCAATGTATTTGATCTGCTTCACACGGGGGTCATTGGGATCTGTACGGAAACGATTCTTCTGGTTGTTGGCGCCACGGAAAATCGAGTATCCCACGCCAGTTACGGCCAAGATAAGCAGGATACCCCTCAGACCCAACTCCAAGGGGTAAACCGCAAGATACCTAGTTTGGAAATTGTAAACGAACGGGACCCAGACCATGTCACCAAAAGAGAGCATGAAACCCATTCCATCCATGATCACGTCCATCGTAGTTAGGACAGCTGGCTCCATATACAATCCATCCAGAACATAGAAGAGTTGGAATGCGGTGGAAAGAACGATCGAGTCCGTAACATAGCCGTACGTTCTGTACTGGCGGGCAATGTTGGACAGGTTCAGTATGTTCCACCCAAGCAAACCGGGCCGCATCTCACACCATACTTTGATGTCAATCGTCCGTGAAGCTTCGCTGACGAAAGGAATAGGCAGCTGCACCCGAGGATTGAGCTCCCGGCCAATGAAGAAATCATATAGAGCATTGCCAGTGTGGCCACCAGGTGCCAATTGTCTAAGTTCGGGGTTGAGTTGGCCAGGCGCAGGAACGGAGAAGCTCCTCACATAGACAAAGACCGCGATCGCTGTGCAAATTACCAGGTTTGCCGTAATGACCTGCACGTAATTATCCCAAAGAAATGTCCACACGGCGAAGTCCGCACCGTAGACGTAGGTGCCCAGAGCTAAACCGGAGAGGATCAACACGGCGGAGGGGAAGGCTGTAAACGGGTCAACCGATATCATTCAAGCATCCAACACCAGATCCATACCGTTGAACTTGTATCGAAGCCTTCCCGTGCAGGCCAATTCTGTACCCTCGACCTCCTGACCAGGTAGGAACACATACAAGACCAGGCTGAGGAGGTAATAACTCAACACCCAGAGGGTTACGCGAGCGTCGAAGAACCCTTTAAGGCCATCTTGTGGCCAACCAACCTCCACCTTTAATTGGTCCAGGGACAAAGTCGAAGGATTGAGTAGCGAGGGAGCAGGGCAGCCGGAAACATCGTTACATAAGAAGGTGAAAGCGTAGATGAGAGTCGGAAGGCAGGTCACAAATGCAAACGCGCCGGGACTGTTGAAGGTCAATTCCTAGGTTCATGGCTGCGACACTCGTGAAACAACGTACGGGCCACAGAATTCATAGCCCCGTTTCTCGGGAACGGGCTGTATCGGGACTTTGATCCTGGAATTCTTCTTCGGCGCCATGATGCGACTGAATTGGGGAGGGAGGAGTCCACGGAGGGTTTAAAGCCGTCGCCGGTCGCGCGTTATGCCGGAGAAACCCACCAACAAGACAATAGAAGAGGTAAGAATCCGTGAGCTTCTTCAATGGCTAGGAAGGAGGTATTTATCTGTAGGTAGGGGAGTGTTTCTTGAAGAAAGAAGGTCGGTCGTCTGAGCCGGATGATTGGTGGCCGACGGGGGCCGCGGACACTTTTTGCGTTTTGTACCTTTTGTTCCTTTTGTTTTCATTAACTCCGCAATTCAAGTCTATTGTTTGGAGAACCACCACAAGATTCAGGCATCTTACGTATTCTATCCTTCCTCGGTCTTTATCCTTTTCTTCCCTCCCCCATTAATCACTCTCGTTGGTAATTTCTTCGTTTCCCTTTTTATCCACATATCATTAGACTTTCTTTCCTTACTAAATCTGTCTTCGGCGATCTCGGTCCCTTTCCAATATATCATTGTTATCGCTAGTCATCCCGCTTTCTCCCTGCGGGATTTATCTCCCATCATGAAGTCGCTGGCTACGTCGTTGCTTGGATTCCTCCTCCTTCTCTCAGCACCCCATGCTTCCGTTTACGCTGCCTCGGATTCAACGGGGTCAAATGCCTTACCGCCCTGTGTGGCACGCTCTCCGACCACCGGTCTCTACTACGATCTGAATTCAATCTCTCTATCCCCACCGAAGACGAAGGACGAAAAGCTTCGTGGAAACGTCCGCGATGAGAGCTGGCATGCCAAGGGTCATGACTACCATGCAAACTTCACGATAAACGTTTGCGCTCCGGTGGTGGAGGATATCAAAGATGTGGTAGGGGTCGACCGCGCAAGATGGCAGAATGTCAGTGCATATTATGAGAAAGAGGGCAAGACCTATTCTATCGGGTACGTTGTGTGCGAGTTGTGACCATCTAAATCAGATGGAACACAGGCTGACTTGTTCCTAGGCAACAAGCGTCTGAGCCATTTTTCCGGGGCCGCAAGTTGGTTCTGAACTACACTGATGGTTCACCGTGTGCTGGGGAACTCATTGGAAATGCCTCGCGCACCAAATCGACAATTATGTCGTTCCTTTGCGATCGCGACGCTCCAGCACATCAGGCGACCGCGTCCTTTGTTGGTACTATGGACCAGTGCACATACTTCTTTGAAGTCCGAAGCTCTGCCGCCTGTGGTGGTGTCGCCCCGGCCGACGGTCAAGGCCTTGGCCCAGCCGGTGTTTTCGGTGTAATGTGAGTATTACCTATCCCATGGGCCATTAATAGAGGAAATAAGAAAGGGTTAACACCGTCTTGTAGTGCATTGATCGCCGTCGTCGCGTACCTTGTTGGTGGCTGCGCTTATCAGCGGACAGTCATGCACCAACGAGGTTGGAGACAGTGTCCGAACTACAGCCTCTGGGCGGGCATGTTCGACTTTGTAAAAGTAAGTATACTAGCATTGATACCGTTTCGGCGGGCTCATTCCAGAGCGCGCCGCCATGATCGTGGTTCCTACAAGGAGTTCAACAATGCGAAGCTACCAATTTCGAGGATGGATTGAATGCCGCTTTGGCTGGTCTAGAGCTCAATTACATCGAGGGAGTCGGTACTTTCAGCATCTGGTCTATGTTCTTCCTATCTCTTGTTTGCTATATAATCATATAGACCTATGTTGAACATGGGTAAACTGTTGTTTTCTGTGTACAGCAGCAGGATCTGCTCTTGTGATTAGCCCTTGAATGTTGGACTTCAACGATTTCGTTAAATAGTTCTATTGTTTAGCTTCCCTTGTGTCTTTCCCATATGCCTAAGCTATGACACCATTGGGGACCATCACTAACCAGCAAGCGTAACTAGGACATGTTCACCATTCTCGGCTCCTCCCTAGGCCGCGTGTTCCGTTTCAAACGATCGCCGGCTCTCGGCCACACCCGCAGCGGCAGCCAGCGCGGCGGGTTCATCAGCGCGATCGGCGGGCGGAGAAATTCCGGAAGAGATGTCGATGCCGAAAATCGACTGATAGATCAACTGGACGAAGAATGGGAGGACTGATAATTTATGATCTTCCCAATCTCCCTTGCTTTTGCTTTCCGCTGTGTCGGTTCTGTTACATGATTGTCATGTCTGATTTCGCTGTATTGCATGTTGGATGTAAGATTTTCCTGGACTGTTACGATTACGGGTCATTGGCGCTATGAATTCCTTCGCTTCCAAATAAGGATATGATATTCGCTTTAGCATTCCGTCTGCCGACAAGGCCTCACATTGAGTTATGGAGTCGATCCTGGTGTATGGAGCCACCTTCAAAGTTAAGATACAACGTAAGATGCTGCGCATTGTATGCTGAGAAGACCACACATGCCACCGAATTGATGAACGCCCAAAACTACGCAGCTGTAAAAAATGCACAGCTATTAATGAACCTGGCAACCTATATGTACAGCAGACACTCATAAGTACCAATACCATTTTGGTTCCCTAAACTAGCAGTTTAGACATAGAATGAGTTGTTTAAGATATTCCAGGCTTGGTCTTTCAGTCCAGTAGTCTTGTTATAATTTTTGGTTATAGTAAAAAGCTCTATGTGCGGCTTTTGGGATATGCTGCAAATAACCTGGAGAAGATATATCAACTAGCATCATTGGTCTAGTGGTAGAATTCATCGTTGCCATCGATGAGGCCCGTGTTCGATTCACGAATGATGCATTTCTCTTTTTTATGTTTGTTTTGTTCTCGCCCTTCTGGAACCTAATAAATAGTCCTCCAGCCTGTATTATATATAGGATTCGGTTTTTACAGATGGCGGAAAGTCTTTTCTTGTTTGTGTTTCTCGTACTGGATGTGGAATGTACATACTACTAGATAGATACTGTTCTTAAATACTACTCCGTAGTTGACACAGGGTAAATACTTACCCACAAACCAAACACCTCACAACTGAACCACATGGCATGATCCCATCCAAGATATAAAAATGATACAAAGACATCCACCCCATCAGAAGAGATTAGTATTCCCTAAACCCCAGGAAAATATACACATAAGACCACCGTATAGAGATATCAAGAGATCATAATAAAACTCCAACCATCTCTTTTGCCAAACCATCCCATACAAGCCGAACAAAACCTCGCCAAGAAAACCAAAAAGAAGATCAAGAAAAGCAGAATGCCGCAGTTAAAATTTAACATCGAGCGCCGTCGGTGCCCTCTCGTTATTCGTTCATGTGAGGTCCTCGATTCACGCTCGCTATTCCCATGTCAAACGTGCCCATGGGCACGTTTCCCGCGTTGAAGGTCGACATATCCGGGGTTCCGCTGCCGGGGACGTGTGCAGGGCTTGGGTCGAGGTTGACGCCTGCACTGACGGGGTCCAGGTTGAAGGGGAGGAACCAGGCGCTTGGTTGGTAGTACTCGCCTACCCCGGCGGGGGCGTTGGGATCTAGTTGGCCCGGGAAGATGGCGGTGTTGTCTGGAGCAGCTGCCGGAGACGGTTCTGCGCCGTTCACGGTAGAGATGGGCGGATTGTCTGGCGGCATGAAGCTGTTGGAGGGATCGAGGCCGCCAAAGGAGCCGTAGACGAACTGTCGATCTAGTTGGGGTAGTTGGTCGGCTGGGACGGGGAAGTCGAATGGATACTGGCCGTAGAGTTGTCCACGACCCTGGTTGAACAGTGTGGGCTGTGGGAACCCGCCTCCAGGTGTGCCCATCATCCCTGGAGTGTTTATATCAACCATCGGTTGAGAGGTTGGTTGACCCATATCAGACAGACTTTCGCCTCTGCTGCCCTTCCTGGAATGTTGACGGCCTGACACGCTGGGCTGTGATGTAGGGGAGAGACTGGCAAAGAAGTCCTCGACGCTTTGAAGGTCGGCCTTCTGGCTCATCACGGCTTCGTCACTCTTCTTTGTCTTTTGGGCGTTGGGGTCCTCCCAATGCATCCTCGACACGCCGTGGGGATACTTGTCGAACCAGTCACCATACTGAAACATGGCAGTGATTTGGCTGCCGTTCTGGGCGACAACCGACCCCTTAATGGCAGCGTCTGCAAACTGCCGATATCGATCCTTAGCGCTTTCCACCATGTAGTGGAACATACCCCAATATTTCTTCATTTTGTTTAAATATCTATAAGTATGCCGTAGGTTCTCCTTCGAACGAGCCTCGAGCTGGGAGTTCTTGGAGAAGATACCCCAGATGTGCACTGTGCTGGCTGAATATGCACAATATCCAGCAAATGGAACGGTAAGAGGGTATGCTGAAGCGCGATCGATCAGCACAGAGATATGGTGGGCCGCCTCCACCGCGGCCCGTCCAGCGTTGCTCAAGAAAGCCTTGGGCATATCCCTCGGGGGTCGCCCTCCCGGCGATAAAGGAATGGCAAACTGGTTTAAGAATAGCATGTTCTGATGAATGATTATATGCAGGAAGAGAAACTGGTTGGCGATCCTGTCAGCCGCATGAATCTGGAGATTCTCATAAGTGAATGCTAAATGGCTTGGAAGAGATGCAGAAAACTCCTCAATTTGTCGTTTGAGGCGCGTATATCCTGACTCGGGTGACCACAGTGGATGAACATCCTTTTTCTTTCCTCCTAAATTTAGATAGTCCACGATACGCCCCCACAATACTATGGCCCGAATTATATAGGCAGAAACTCCCATGTTGTCCTTAGCGTTAGACAATTGGCCAACGTCATCCGGAACTGGATTAGGAACATTTCCATCCAGATCCTCCGTTGGTCCCGGGATTTCCATTTGAAAATGTGACTCTTTGATCGGCAGCTGTATCTGTATAAACTTTTCGTTTCCAATAGGGGGGCGTTGACTTCCAGACGAGTTATAACGGTCCATCATGAAGCAAGCCCACATAGTACGTCTTCTAATCTCTCGATCTGTGAAGCTGAGCTGGGACCCGCCACCATTGGGCTGGTTCAATAGTGGATCCTCATCGAGTTCATTATGCAGTTGCAGAGCATAAGCCATCCGCAACGCCTGACCCCCGAAAGACCAACTTCGACCACCATGACAAGTTCCGAACTCATGAAGACCCAGTAGTAGGAATACAGTCAGAATGGTAATGTTGGGTGCGTCGTGGCGGCTTAAAGCTATTGCAGCAGCAGGATTGGCCCAATTCTCTCCGCGCAGGAAAGGTGGTTCGGAGTTAAGCTGTGGATGAGTTGAAAATCGAGCCGATACAGCGCAAACGGCCAGAATCAAAGCTGGCGGAACAGTCCTGGCCTTCAATCGGCGCATAAAGCTGGGTTTGTGGAGCAGGAGGTAAGACTGCCCATAGACACAATCGAAGAAAACTTCCGCTAGGTGTTCTTGAATCTCTAACGAAGGTAAAAATTCTGCTCCCTCAGTCATCAAACCGGTTGTGTCGTTGATCTTACTTTCCCGGCGCATTGGAGAAATATCCAGCGAAGCTTTGCGTTCTCCACGAGCCCATTCGTCCATCTCATTCGCAAAAGCTTCGTCGGCCGTCCGTTTCTTCTGGCTCTTCGAGGCCTGCCCTGGTTGGGGAGGCCGGACCACTGATCGCCCGATAGCTGCCATATCCCTCGTCTCTTCCTTCGGGATAGTCTTAATAACGCGATCTTCCATTCTCTTTAACCGTTTATCTAGCATGGCCATATAATCTGTCCGAGGCGCTGCCTTCCGGGTGGTGACTTTATATACGCAGGGAATCCGAGAGCGCGAGCAGTGCTTGCACGCGGGCTTCTCGCCCGAACATCGAATCTTTTTCCTCCTACATGCGATGCACGCCAAGGGTAGGCGCTTTCGCTCCTTCCCAGCCTTCGTCTTCATTTCGCTCCACGCTGGTTTTTCGTTCTTGTGCTCACCATTCAACGCGGAATCTCCCTTCCCGTCCTCGGGGTGATGGTCGTATCCGCCCTCTAGAATGTTACCGATATCGCCCCCGGTTTGGACGCTCCCGGGGTCGCGCGAGCTGGCCCGGCTCTGCGTGTCGATATCGTCGGGGAGGGCGATATCGTCGGGCCCCAAGGTGAGGCCGGCGGAGGAGGCCAAGGGGGATTCGTCGGACTCGGGCGGGATCATGACGGGTGCAGGTACCCCAAGAGCCAGGCGCGGGTCATCGTTCGGTAAGCCGGAGATAGTCGATTGGGGAGAGGTCCAAGAGATCTCGTCCTGCTCTCGGGAGAATGACGGGACGAAATTGCGGGATGAGGCGGTCGCTTCTGGTGGGTATGGGGAAGATTGAGGGTCGGTCGGTGGCGGCTTGGCATTGCTAGCCGTCGTCATGCTGGGGAGGATTATTAATGGTTTTTTTTTGTGTTGGCGACGGCCCCGAGTTTCTTGAACTGGCACTGACTCGGGTTCACTACGGGCGTCGCCGGAGAGGAAGAGTTGAGGGATTATTCCTCTGGAGAAACTAGAAGGGAAACGAAAAAGCGGAGGAGAGGGAATTGAGAGACTAAACTTCTCTTGGTACCGATTTCATGCAACTAAAAAAGTCGCGGGTAATCATCGAGTCTGGATTTAATGGTCGTCCTTAACCCCGTCTTCTGGGGGTCATTTTCACTTCTATGCGGAGACCATCATTGGGTGAACCAAACATTCTTGAGCTTGGGTCCCAGGAGAATGGCTCCTCTGTATCATATTGGTTGGTGAGTTATTTTCCTTTAAACTTCAAATAGTCCCAGGTATGAAAACGGATTCGGTGGTTGTGGATCCTTCTCACCTTATACTACTACCGCTACTATTTGAATCTATCATCGACTAGTATCCAACGATGGATTGGTCGCCTGACAATTCAGGCGGTGACATGGAGGATCTCAACTCTTTCAATGGTCCGGGGCATTTCCCCATCCCCTTCGACAATGGTTTAGAAAACCCTTGCGGTGACATTACGGTCTATTATTTACTGTACTAGGTGGATACCCTCCACTATACTTCGTACTTCGAACATGTTCGGTAAGATAGCCAGTTCACTCTCGAGAATATACCTGTATGCTTAAGGGTGCAGAGCTTCACATTAGTGCGGTCGTCGCCCGGACCCCGATGCGTAATCCTTTCTATTACATTAGCAATCCGACTATACATATCTAACAATAAACGTTACCTCCAGACTAGATCACTCATCGAATAATTACATCCAAAGATGCTTAGGTCGGCTGCGGTTCATGTTCCACGCGTGGCATGCCATGTAACAGTTCCCCGCATAAATGCCGTTCCCGCTACTACTACGACCTGGGTCGTCCAACGCGCTGGCGTGGCCCGGCGCTTTCAAGGGAAGCCACAATCTCTGCGCCTAAGACATAGCTGTTGTACCCTGGGAAAACAATCCAAAGACCACTGGCCCACCGGTAAGCGAACGAAGTGAGCTTATAACGAAGGAAGCTTACTTTGGCATAATCCACAGGAAGATCAGAGTTATGGCATCGTTATGTCCAATGTTATCAAAGCCGGAGAAAACCTCGTTCAGGCCTGGGATCCTCGTAAGCAAAGCACGACCATCCGGTATAGGGAACTCTTCTTTTTCACAACTCACAGTAGATGACAGTCTTGCTGAGAGTCGCAAGAGATGCGCTGTACGCGACTAGAAGTGCAGTGGCCCCAGTTCGTCCAGAGACCACCTTTTCGGTCCTCAACATCCACATAAGCCCCTTTTTGGCTTTGCGCTGCCCGCGACCGCCGGACGCTGGGACTCCGTGCCTATACACAATCCAGAGGTAATAGATGTACCCGGCACATTCCACAAGGTTCAATACAGTAATTGCTGCTGGGAAACCGTTTCGAGCATTGAACGCTGGCCAGCCGTAGATATAGTCAATTGTTCCATACAGCGCATAAGGTATCCAAACAGGGGAATGCAATTTGTTGCCTGGCATGCTATGCGGACGGAGCAACACATAGCCTGCATCCCAGATAATTATCGGAACTGACACGACGAGCCAAACAATGATCGCAGTCGATGGGGCGTGGACCCATCTATTCGTGGCGCCATCGCTGTTGTTAGATGGCGAGGAAGCCTTTCCCGTTGATGGAGGCGGAAAGTCGCGGGGATGGTGTCGCGTAGAAACCATAGCTGTATGATAATCGCGGTGTATTAGTACACTAGAGAGTGACACCCACCCGAACAGTGAGTTTGTGGTCAATACAGTCCTAGAAAGCGTGAGACAGTAGCCGTCCTAGGAATCGGTGAGAAAGAGGGAAAGAGTTAGTAGTGCGACCATTGTTGGTCTGGTATGAATAAGCAGCGACTGACGGCTAATGACGTTGTGCAGAAGGCGCCTCTCCTTCCGATTCGATTCCCATTTAAGAGGTATGGTTAATTCGAGTGACTTATGGATTTTATTACGCATTCGGCGGAGGGAACTGTGGTTCAAACCAGCCATGACCTGTCCAGATCTCGACATCTTCATCTCCACTTAATTAGGGCCGTCCGCCGCAAGCTGCAGCAAAATACCACTATTATGATGCGCTGCTCCACTAGACCCAGTGATAGCTCATTATTTTATCGCTTTCACCAAGCCGATGTGTCTTTCCCTTATCTGGTCAAAAGGTATGATGTGCCGAGGGAGACCTTATTTTAACTACCGTTCCGGTCGGGTGGACCTGAAGCTAATTTGCGACTAAGCCCGTCCGCTAGTCACGTGTGGGTATGAGCCTTTTGCCGTAAAAGTCTCCTGGACTGTCTGTCTGTTAAACCATTCAGCAATGTAATATTCGTTCCTCAAAAGTATGATATCTAGTCCAACATTACAGCTTGGCTGCATCAATTAAGTAATGGATAATGCCAATCAAAAGGTTGAAGCCCCAGAGATCTAGTGCCACCCAGTCAGTAACTGAGTTGTTGTCTGACCCCATTGCTAGAAACTTGATAAACTTGCTCGAGTTCGAGAAAACCAACGCAAGAGCCGTGCTAGGAAACAGGAGCACACCCGCGGCTTGGAACAAAAGCTGGTGGCTCTCCAAGAACAAGCCCACCAAAAAGATGTTGAACATAGATTGGCTATTCAGAAGCTGGAAGCTGAAAACAGGGGCTTAAGACTGCTTTTGTCTCGCTTGGGGCTACCTGCTGAAACCATTGCAGAATATGTCCAGGCAGTTGAGGACCCAAACATGGCTCAGAAGGTTGCCATTCCAGCTCTAAGACGGTCACTGGCCGTGCATAATCAACAGAAGAATTGCCGGAGTCCGCCTTCATTACCTAGGTGCCAAGCGGATTCCGAGGTTCCCCACACAGAGGATTTAGGAGGCCTATCGAAGACAGACATTTTCCAGAATGCTACAAGGCTCGCTCAAAAAACCGAGCCTCAGGGGACTTTGGATCAGCAAATATCCAATCAACGTCAGTCTATATGTGGTTGTCTTCCTGATACAGCAGCAGGATCAAGCGCCACTAGTTATGATGTTCTCAATACGACCCTCTGCGCGATTGCAGAAGAGCTGATCAAGCAACATAACAGACGTGGCTTGGATATGGCAGAGATTCAGAAAAAGCTCTGGGCAGGTTTCTGTAATGGCCTTACAACTGACGAAGGATGCAGAGTACAAAACCAAATTTTATTTCAGGTCCTAGACGAGATCAGCGGTGACTAGTTTCTATCTCTTGGATATCATCGTTTGGATATCATAAGCGCTTGCTTTCATTGAACGCCACTGCCAAGACCCCAAGCTTTCCAAGCCCCTTATCGTCTTTTGGCAAGCTGTTTGGTAAAATGCATCACCTTCAGGGGGCCAAAATTTTGATCAGAGGGCTAACTGTCACAACTGGAACTCGGCCACTGTCGACACACCAAGAGCAGAGCTACTGGTTAAATCACTGAAGGACTTGCGACGGGTGCAATGATGGCCGTCTGCACGATTGAGTCTATGACAACTGGGACTCCACAGCACTCCCTAATTTCTTCCAGCGTGTTCTTACCAGACCAGGGCCTAAGATATGTTAGTTTGCCATTGTGAAAGGAACCAACATTGCAGTATATCGTATCATACTAACCTGAGATTAGTGCCATCAGAGACCCCTTTTCGGACCAGCAATTCCTATGTTAATTTACATTATGATATGTAATTGGTGATAACCTGGCTCAGATGGAACTCCGCTATTGAACCACTGATATCAATGTTAAAGTCAAGTTTCCTGCGCGAAATATCGGTGTAAGTTTCATACTTCTGTTTGTATGTGATTGGATACATCATAGCAAACAAGCTAGTTGCCTATGACGCTAGCACAGATGAGAGCCAACGATGATATATTTATATATTTATGGAAGCAGACTTACTGGTGTGTGGGGACACGGATGTCCACCGTTCCTTTGTGATATGTATATGCCAGTGCTTCAATGGCGAGGGTGTTGCGTTCAATCATCTAGTTTGCTTTATTAGTTCAATGTAAGGATAATACTGGGGGCCCATAATAAGGTCGAACCAGAAATCAACACGGAGAATCAAAGATGAGTTGGATATGCATACGGAGTACCCAGCGATTCCATCACCCCCATACCGACTCTGTCCTGCGCTGGATGGATGTCACGTTACCCATCCTTGTTTAGTACTAGTCCATAAATCTATGGATCCCGACTCGAGGGACTTCCCGCCGAGCACCATCCTCTCGAACCAAACTAAGCATGCATGGACAAACTGTGAGATGCATGTCGTGAACGAATTGCATTGGGCCCCCCAATGAATATACTTTTGGCTTGACTCATGGTGGATGGTTAAGGCACCGCAAGTTCCGCACCCGGCTCACCACCGTTGAAAGTGGCTTGGTATTTTAGCGCGGTGGCCTGACCTGTACTCACCAATGAACTTGATAATACTTTCAAGAACAAATGATGCCGTCTCTGAACCCGAACACACCATTTCAACCACTGATCAAACATGCTGGGACATGTGGCGAAGGACCCGCCAACCAGCCGACAATCTTCTTGTACATTCCGGAGAGCAAGAAGCGTTCATGGTGTGCTACTTCGGTTCATCCGTCGTTAGCGGTTTATAGTGCTAGACGGACGACGATTGACAAGAACCCCTATTGTAACAGTGGGGAAGAGCTTTGACCCGCAAGCCACTTCATTGCTAAGAGGGTGGCATTCACCGTCCCGAATAACGGCTATAGCAGCGTTTCTTATATAATTTCTGGTACTCTTGTCTGAGCTTCCCCCCCCCTATGTTTCATCGCCCCCCTAATTACCCGCTATGGAAAGAGACTAAATCACATCGCGTAGGGCTCTTTCTCCACTGCGGGTAATAGGCATGGGCTAGCCAGCAATCAATTAATATCTCCGAAGCTACTTGTGTGCGCTTGCAGTCTAAACTAAAAGTAGTGGTTCTTAGCATGTGGCACAATGTCTGAACGCTGGTTCTCCCAATTCTTGTTCGCTCACACATATATCCCACAAAGAAAATGAGTGAAGAGAATAATCGAGTTGCCATTGTTACAGGCGCGACTGTAAGTACTTCATTTGGTCAATAAATGATGACAGACACACTCACTCCACATCTGTCTTCTGCCAGTCTGGTATTGGAGCCGATATTGCCAGGGACCTGCATTCCCGTGGATGGAAAGTCGCCTGTGTTGGCCGCCGAACCCAGGCCGGAAACGATCTTGTGCAGGGCCTGGGCGAGAACGCACGTTTTTTCCAAGCAGATGTCAGCGACTATCAGAGCCAGGCTGCTGTCTTCAAAAAGGTCTTCCAGTTATGGGGGAGAATTGATGCACTGTGCGCGAACGCTGGCGTGGGTGATCAGTCTTCGCTTTATCTCCTTAACCGGCGCGATAAAGGTGTCGAGGACGTCCCTCCAGAGCCAGACCTCTCCTGCACTGATATAAATTTCAAAGGCGTCGTCTATGGCACTGTGTTAGCAACGCACTTTATGCGGCACAACAGGCCCGAGGCGGGCGGAAGGATTGTGGTGACTGGCAGTATTGGGGGTATTTTTCCTCATAGTACGTATCCCGAATACAGTGGAACCAAGGCAGCAGTCAATCAATTTGTTCGTGGCGTTGCGCCAATGTTGAAGGCCAAGGATAACATCCATATTAACTGTGTCTTGCCGGGTATTGTTGCCACACCCATCGTCCCCCCTGAGATGATTGAGGCCGTGGCCCCGGAGTGGTAGGTTTTGCCCATTCAAAACGTCGTTTTGTCGCTTTATATCTCTCCCACACACGCTGCACAATAGCTCATACTCGAACGGTTGCTAACCGAAAAACCTTTAGCCGGACTCCGATGAAGACGGTCCTCGATGCAGTTCAAATCTTCTTAGAAGATAAAACGGGCATAGCTGGTGAACTTCTGGAATGCTCTGCAGATAAACTGATATATTATCATCTTCCAGAGATGGGCAATGGACCTATCACCAAGCGTGCTGTGACCGTCTGGGAACCATTGTTCAGACTGGCGCATGGCGAGAACTCTGATCTCCCGGATGCGATTCCAGACATCAGCCCATTTAATGGCTCTTCTTTGGGTGCACCACGAGATGCAAAGCTCTGACAGGTTGCCTGAGGAGCGACAAGCCTTGCCATCTCTGGCGAGTATGGCAGACGTATATATTGTGAACAGATTGTGACGACTATCATGGGAGGGATTTCTGCAAGTTGTACTTAGCTTCTATGGGTTCTCGCCAGTATATGTCTTCGAGAACCAAACTTAATTCAACAGTTGTGACCAATTGGACCAAACCTGGGCCTGTCCTGCAGCTCAACTCAAAGCATGGTTCCGTAGAAACCATAGAAATGACACTCAAGCACTCACAATACAAGCACCAAGCCTCAAAAACCCCTTACGTCAAGACGCATGGCAAAACCCAGCCCCTTACCTTCTGCAAGAACCCTGGATTATATTCCACCATGCTATAACCATGACATTTCCATTACCCGACAACTCCCCGCAGTTCCACCGACCGACCCAGGCGGTCATCTTGATGCTTTTCGGGAAATCCCATGGAACTCTCGCTACCTTACCCGGTATTTAGCATGAATCGGTAGCTACTTAGGCTATTTTGCCGTTACCGGGTCTAATGTTGTTGATCATGTTACGGTCCGACATTAGCAAAGAAGAATCGGGACCGGAACTGGAACTAGGGGCTTAACATTATATTAGCTATCGGTATTGGCCTTAAGCCGAGAAGACCCTGAGAAGGGGAGGTTGGAGAGAAAAGGACGCCGAACCCGGAGAGCGACTGTGTAGCTTGTTTACTGGGTCGTGTGTGAGGACATTGCTTTGGGATTTACACTGTGCGATAGGTTATTGAATTGGGAGTTGCTTTTCTGGGTCGTTCGGATGGTTTACTTAGTCCATGGTGCTACCATGCAATTATGCCTTGGGTTGCTTTTGTATCTTTAATGTCTGGATAAACAGCCATTATCCTCTCTTTTCATGGTCTTCATGAGAGTGAAATAGTAGAAGGCTGCGAGTAAGTTTGGCTAACTGCTATTTCGGAGTTGCGTCTAGGTTCGCATTTGCCATGTTAGGTTTCTAAGAAGACTATGTAGGAAGAGTTTGTTGATCAGGCGGTCCATGCAATTCCTGATTGAAATGGACTTGTAGTGGAAACGCCGAATCACTCTCAATTGTCAGGTATTTCAGCACGTTATGCATACTGATCGTGTGATATTTCCTTGATGGGGCCACCTCACTGCGCGCAGTTTTACATTCGTTGTTCACAGACCACGCCTAGGAAAAAAAAGATATGTCAAGCTGAACGAAAACAGCACACTCTGAAGAATCAGAGGGAAGACGTCACATGAAACCGGCCGCTTGCCAATCTGTTAACCGACTTGGATCCGATACAGTGCCCTATTGAGCATCATAGCGCGGGTTCAAGCCCAAGCGGGTAAACCCTAGTTTACTCTGGAAAGACAGCAGATGCATGAGCCCGGCGACACCGAATACACTACTCCGGTTAGAGTGAGAGGATGGAACCAATACCGAAGCACCGCGTAGCGTATCGTTCCCCAGAGCCGAAGTGCCCGTAGCTCACCTGCATAGGCAGCAGTGAAGGCAATATGCAACATAGGAGCAGCCCAACAGCATGTGTAGTCCCATATTCATACTCAGAACTCTACATCTGAGCTCTCAACCTCGAAAGGCACCCAAAAAAAAATTACTCAAAAGTCAAATTAGAACAAAATGGGTTATCATGTATAGAAGAGAAAGGCAGAGTTTCCTTCTTTATGGCTAAACATCGGCAAAAGACACGGGAATCCGAGCGCCATCGAATTGCTAAAGTGCAAAGTTGCGGTAGCTTCGGGAGTTGCGGCCAGTTGAAGGTACTCCAGAATCCGTTTACCCCACGGTCTTCGTGAAGTGTGGGGAATATCTCTTCGACAAAATTTTAAATAGCGGTTCAGGATTTGCTTGCTGGTTGCCAAGATCTAGTCAGTGGCTGGCCCATTTGTCTGAGGAACAAAGCGCATGCTTGTATTGTTTGTCCAGACAGTGGAGTGGTGAGAATGACGTCAAGTTGTTATTTGTTTCTTGGCTTCTGAAGCCCTATACTGTGTAGATGGCCAAAGTGAGAAGATTTCTTAAATACTACTCCGTACAGAGTGGGGTTGTTATTTGCATGTACAGGGTACACGATGCACTCCGCAGTGCATTAAATGAATTGTAAACAGGCTAAATAGCACATCCCGGTTAATGATGGGTAATGGAGTTGAGTATTGCTGCTATGTGCGCAGTGGCCTCAGACCGAGATTCTTGCCAGTACGCTCACTTTGCGTGGTAATGGTATATGATATCAGTGCTTTGATAGGAAACTACTAAGAATGTTTGTTCAATAAATTATGGTGCAGTGAGGAACTTTTTGCTGGGGAAGAAAAGCAATACGTGCCTTCAGGCTATGTTGCCCCACACTCAAGACCCTCATTACTAAGTACTGGTGGTAATTTTGATGCCAGCAAAGAATGAGGTTGTCGGAATGAGCGTGAGGAATCCCGAGAGTCCTTTGAGTCTTTGAGACTTTTCACCTCAAACGCCCCACGGAGTAATTGTGGATTCCCTACAACCCCGAATCTTCGCATTTCGGACCATTTCCGGGAACATACTTTCTACTACACACCGACGGAGAAGGGAGGCCGTCCGTGCCCCGGTACCGATCCTCGATTGCTCTACGAGCTTTTACTCCGTACCTCAGAGTTTGGATTAAGGTGAAACTGACAGCCATGTGGCAAGCGATCTCTACTGTAGACGGAAACAGAGTTCATCGTTGGTATGAAGATCGCAAAGACTCCGCAAGATCATCCGGGGATGTCGTAGGGACCACATTGCAACCGCATAGAAGGCACATCCATGCTAACTCTGTCTGGAGCATGAATAATATGAGCCATGCCGATGGATAGTATGATCCGTGGAGAGGGTTTGAGCCCATCGGTTGCTAAAATGGTTAAAATGATGTCCGTGTCTGTACCGACGACAACCTGAATCAGGAAATAATGGAGGGCGATCAACGATGAACGTAAACACTAGACTCCACTCCGAGTGCATGGTCACAATCTATCGATGCCGTCTTTTCTTTCATTTTTTTTTTTCTGTTTCTTTCTTTGCGACCAATTGTTCCAGCCACGGAATGATTTATAATGTATAGAAATAGGGTAGATCTAGAATCACTCTACAGAGCACGTGCCTGTTACATCCCTTGCTCCCTGCCAAAGGGAATCTGCGACACAGGAGGCAGAAGGCAGGAAGGATAGAGACCACAATCCCTGGGATCCAAAATTATTCAAGAAGGGTGAGCCCATCATTCCCAGCAAGCCCCTCTAAAGATTGGAAGATGCGGGGGAGGCTGGTCTCGCAGTGATACGGTAACATCACCCATGCATTTGTGTAGACAAATGCGGCACTTGTGATGTTAGTCTCGTCATTAAGATCGTGGCATGGTGGAACCAACGAGATTTTTTCAACTTTTTGTTTTCTTTATTTCTCTACCTAATTCACCTTTGCCACTAACTAGTAGTGGTGGAATGTCCATTGGTACTTTCCTGGATCCTGACTAGTTTCATGGCCGCCCAAGGCCTATTTCCTTTCCCGGAATGGGATATTGCGTAACGGAAGGGCGACGGGTAATATGTATGGATCGGCTCGCCAGGTACTGTCGGTATGGTACAGAGGTACTGTATCTATCCAGTTCGTGTCCTACAGGAGCATACCTTGTTGTGTCTCAACTCCCTGGGAATGAACTGCCTGAATACTGAAGAAGTAGGAATATACACGATCTTTATAAGGAGCTGGAAGATAAGATACGAAATATACTGTAAAGAATTCTTGTCTTAAACTTTACTTTCCGAAGAATGTAGCAAACTCAACAGGGCCTACTGTATGTACTGTACTGAGAAAGCATGAATGGACATCGGTTTTGTAATCCGATTACCAGGGAACTACCCCTGAAGGGCACTAGCGTCCCCAGCTTTCCCCCCCGTAGTACCTGATGGTCCCTTTGATGTTCTAAGGGTTCCCCCAGTTTTCTTTTTCTTTTCCGGTACCCCAAAGGCAGCAAATCAACGCGCGCCAGGGTTGCTGTTGCGGGGAAAATTCCGTTCTCACCTGCTCACCAGGCCACCTGATGGACCTTTCTCAAGCCATGGCTCAGCATGCCGAGCAACAATGTGCACTAACTGACAACACAGTACCCTAACAAAGAGAAGGTTGCTGGACCGAGTTCGCCGTTAGTTTACAAAGTAACAAATCGGATCGTCATTACTTTTTACTCCGTGTGATGTTTATTGGTTCCCTGTCTAATTTTCCCTTTTTTTCCTTTAGAAAGGATCCATTATAGCTCCTCCCGCATCTCGCATTTATTGATGGAATTTGTTCCACTCGCGTCGCTCCATCTGGTACACCCACGCCGATCACCGAGCAAACAGCGGGTCTCCCTTTTTCCCCCTCTGCATACGTGACAGCTTGGGCTGGGACAGCCAGTGGGTACCGGTGCCGAGACAGCAAGCAAGGAATACATCATGCGCGGTACTTAAGTTACCCATCGTTGGTGGCGTCGGTTGATCCCTCGTTGCCATGCCGGTTGTTATTTATATCACCTTTTCTCCCCTCCATTGTTGGTGGTTTTCCCTCATTCAACAATCACTCTTGGTGAGCACTGTGTGGTGACCTGGTGTTCATTTCCTGCTCTGCTGGTTACCTCCCACATTATCATGAAGTTTGGTTGGTTCGAGGTGGCCGCATTGGCGGCTGCCTCAGTAGTCAGTGCCCAGGTATGCTTCACTATCCTATACGGTGCTATCCGATTCAATTGAATCAGCCTTCTAACAGTTTTCATTCTGAATAGGATGATCTCGCGTACTCCCCTCCTTTCTACCCTTCCCCATGGGCAGACGGTCAGGGTGAATGGGCGGAAGTATACAAACGCGCTGTGGAAATAGTTTCTCAGATGACGTTGACAGAGAAAGTCAACTTAACGACGGGAACTGGGTAAGCTTGTGTATACTGTAGCATGTCCGGTACTCGATTAGCTAACGTACTTCAGATGGCAGCTGGAGAGATGTGTTGGACAAACTGGCAGTGTTCCCAGGTAAGTAGATTTCCAACGTGACGTTATACTTTTATGGAAGGCTGATTGTCGTGAATATAGACTCAACATCCCCAGCCTGTGCTTGCAGGATAGCCCTCTTGGTATTCGTTTCTGTACGCGTGGCTCCTGATTTCCCCTTTCTTCCTAGCACATTGCTAACAGTAAACGTGCAGCGGACTACAATTCAGCTTTCCCGGCCGGTGTTAATGTCGCTGCCACTTGGGACAAGACGCTCGCCTACCTCCGTGGTCAGGCAATGGGTGAAGAGTTCAGTGACAAGGGCATTGACGTTCAGCTGGGTCCTGCTGCTGGCCCTCTCGGTGCTCACCCGGACGGCGGTAGAAATTGGGAAGGTTTCTCACCAGATCCCGCCCTCACCGGTGTACTGTTTGCAGAGACGATTAAGGGTATCCAAGATGCTGGTGTCATTGCGACAGCTAAGCATTATATCCTGAACGAACAAGAGCATTTCCGCCAACAACCCGAGGCTGCAGGTTACGGGTTCAATGTCAGCGATAGTCTGAGCTCCAACGTTGATGACAAGACTATTCATGAATTGTACCTCTGGCCCTTCGCGGATGCAGTACGCGCTGGAGTCGGTGCTGTCATGTGCTCTTACAACCAAATCAACAACAGCTACGGTTGCGAGAATAGCGAAACTTTGAACAAGCTTTTGAAGGCGGAGCTTGGTTTCCAAGGCTTTGTCATGAGTGATTGGACCGCTCATCACAGCGGTGTAGGCGCCGCTTTGGCAGGTATGGATATGTCGATGCCCGGTGATGTTACCTTCGATAGTGGCACGTCTTTCTGGGGTGCAAACTTGACGATCGGTGTCCTTAACGGCACTATCCCCCAATGGCGCGTTGACGACATGGCCGTCCGTATCATGGCCGCTTATTACAAGGTTGGCCGCGACACCAAGTATACTCCTCCCAACTTTAGCTCGTGGACCAGAGACGAATATGGTTTCGCGCATAACCATGTTTCGAAAGGTGCTTACGAGAGGGTCAACGAATTTGTGGATGTACAACGCGATCATGCTGACCTAATCCGTCGCATCGGCGCGGAGAGCACTGTTCTGCTGAAGAACAAGGGTGCCCTGCCTTTGAGTCGCAAGGAAAAGCTGGTCGCCCTTCTTGGAGAGGATGCGGGTTCCAACCAGTGGGGCGCTAACGGCTGTGATGACCGTGGATGCGATAACGGTACCCTTGCCATGGCTTGGGGTAGCGGTACTGCAAACTTCCCATACCTTGTGACACCGGAGCAGGCGATTCAGAACGAAGTTCTTAAGGGCCGTGGTAATGTCTTCGCCGTGACCGACAGCTGGGCGCTCGACAAAATCGCTGCAGCTGCCCGTCAGGCCAGTGTGTCTCTCGTGTTCGTCAATTCCGACTCAGGAGAAGGCTACCTTAGCGTGGATGGAAATGAGGGCGATCGCAACAACATCACTCTGTGGAAGAACGGTGACAATGTGGTCAAGACCGCGGCGAATAACTGCAACAATACTGTTGTCATCATCCACTCTGTCGGACCAGTCTTGATCAATGAATGGTATGATCACCCCAATGTCACCGGTATTCTCTGGGCTGGTTTGCCAGGCCAGGAGTCTGGCAACTCCATTGCCGATGTCCTGTACGGTCGGGTCAACCCTGGCGCCAAGTCTCCTTTCACTTGGGGCAAGACCCGGGAATCGTATGGTTCTCCCTTGGTCAATGAGGCCAACAATGGTAACGGGGCGCCCCAGTCTGATTTCACTCAGGGTGTTTTTATCGATTACCGCCATTTCGATAAGTTTAATGAGACCCCTATCTATGAGTTTGGCTACGGCTTGAGCTACACCACCTTCGAACTATCTGACCTCCATGTTCAACCCCTGAACGCGTCTCAATACACTCCCACCAGTGGCATGACTGAAGCTGCGAAGAACTTTGGTGAAATTGGCGATGCGTCGGAGTACGTGTATCCGGAGGGGCTGGAGAGGATCCATGAGTTTATCTATCCCTGGATTAACTCCACCGACCTGAAGGCATCGTCTGACGACTCTAACTACGGCTGGGAAGATTCCAAATATATCCCGGAAGGCGCCACGGATGGGTCTGCTCAGCCCCGTTTGCCCTCCAGCGGTGGTGCCGGAGGAAATCCTGGTCTGTACGAGGATCTTTTCCGCGTCTCTGTAAAGGTTAAGAACACGGGCAAAGTCGCCGGTGATGAAGTTCCTCAGCTGGTAAGTTGACCTGATTGGATGAGGTGTGATGATTATCAATGCTGACATCTTCCGTACAGTACGTTTCCCTAGGCGGTCCGAATGAGCCTAAGGTGGTGCTGCGCAAGTTTGAGCGTATTCACTTGGCTCCTTCGCAGGAGGTTGTGTGGACAACCACCCTTACCCGGCGTGACCTTGCCAACTGGGACGTTTCGGCGCAGGACTGGACCGTCACTCCTTACCCCAAGACGATCTACGTTGGAAACTCCTCACGGAAACTGCCGCTTCAGGCCTCGCTGCCTAAGGCTCAGTAAGAGGCAATCTCGGATTGTACAGAGAATTTCCAGAGTTATGATGTACATGTTTATGAATGACCTAGGGCAGGATAAAACTTCGTAGGGTTAATTCTAATTGTTATAGTCAAGTGTTGGGCTAGTGTTGACTCACTCGCCCGATCAAGAGATTTAATCTATTTTAAAAATCGTTCTCGCTTCATTTACCACCAGGATTGCTAGTAGTAATTAAATACGTTCATCAACTATGATGGTGGCGAAATGTAGTTGAAGCTACTGAGTACATAATCAAATTAGACCGGCGATGGGCACATGCGTTCCATCGACGTCATCCCTCCGTCTCCGAGGCTAAACAAGCCCATTTATTTAATCTTTTACTACGTATTGCCGCATTTCCTCCGTTTCCGCCGAGTCACCACGTCGGCTTCCCGACTCTTCACCTACACAACTTCTCACTCAATTGCGTGAATCCTGGATTTCATTTGGCTTTATCACATAATCCGTCTTATCTACCTTTGTCAGGTAACTTGACGGAGGAAACGTGGAAGGCTGAGAAAGAAGATCGAAAACCGAAGAAACTACGTAGGTGAAAAAAAATAAAACATGGCGTCACCAGACAAATCCCCTTCCACGACAATACCGCGGTTATACCAACCACCTACGGCAACCCTACTTGTCTATCCTATTACTCTAATTATAGGATCACTATTTTCCGTTCTCTCCCCGACAGCACAGGGCACTCGAGACCCTCCCTCCAACCATCCAACTCCTCTAGCCCCTTCAATCGCCGCCGATGTGAACCTCCCCCAACACCCCGTCAATTACTTCGCCCGCAAGGATAATGTCTTTAATGTATATTTTGTGAAGGTTGGCTGGCTTTGGGTTACTGCGGCTTTCGCTTCCCTTCTATTTTCTCAACTCCCGTACACGACCTCCTCTAGTCAGCAACCGCGGCGGATCGGTCAAGCGCTCGCTCGCTATTCTCTGGCTACCCTAGTTTGGTACCTGACTACACAATGGTTTTTTGGTCCGGCAATAATCGATCGCAGTTTTGTGATTTCGGGTGGGAAGTGTGAGCAGGTCGTCCCGCAGGCTGAAGAGGGTTCTGCCTCACTCCACACACTGTTGACGGCTACCGCGTGCAAGTCCGCTGGTGGAGCATGGAGAGGTGGCCATGATGTAAGCGGTCATGTGTTCATGCTGGTCCTTGCGACTGCGATGCTGGCATTTGAGACATATGGAGCATGGAGGGGCGCTTCGGATATCGATCAGGGAAGCAAAAAGTCGGAGGACGCCGACCGCGAATTGAGTGGGTCGAGGACGTGGTCTGTATGGTTTGTGGGCGCAGTTACAGGCCTGAGTTGGTGGATGTTGTTGATGACTGCTATCTGGTTCCATACGTGGTTTGAGAAGGTATTTCGCCCCATTTGACATATATAATTGGCCGAAACGCCTTTTCCTCAGGGATTGACTAATACGTGACAGTTGACCGGTTTACTGATCGCCCTAAGCACCGTTTATGCCATCTACATTCTGCCTCGGCGGGTCATCCCCTGGAGGGATGTTGTGGGCATTCCAGGCGTATAGTGTTCGTTGTTTTCTTGACTTGACGTTGACACGATTTGCCACCGGTGACATACTATATTGTCGAGGATACAGGATACCTGGCGCAATAATGCATATTGTAGAGTACTACACGCAGAATATACACATGAATACTTTTTGTTTTCCAAGTACATTTTGGGTGCTCAGGATCTTTGTTTGGTTATCTCTCCGGGCTGGGCATGGGCTCTGGTCCTAAGTACCCGCGAGCAAAAGCTGCAGATTATGGTCAGTCCCGATCTTATTTACGTGCCCTAGCATCGGGGATTGATATACTAACCCCCTGGTATCACTGCCGATGCGTACATCACCCGCGTGATTGGGCGAAGATCATCCGGCGTCACTTTTGTTGCGAGTGATTTTTGCATGTATATATTCCATGAGTCCAGGATCTTGTCGGCATACACCTTGAGATCGACGGCGCTTTCTTTCTCGGACGATTGCTCTGACATGCATTTGATGCCCATACAAGTCCCGAATTCCCGAAAAGCCAAACGATATTTATGGCTGCGGTCGAGGTACCGGTCAATCTCAAAGAGCTCATCTGTCTGATGTTATTCCCAAGCATGACGAGAGAAATAGTACGGGAATAGAAGACATACAAATTTGTTCAAAGCATTGACCGGACAATTGTGTTGCCCAATCCTCCTTCTCTGCGAACCAATGTGCTGTCCACAGACTCATCCCCAGATCCAAAGGATCACTCGTCACAAAATGCTTTCCTTTTCTCTCCATCACCTTCTTGTAATCTGCGATCTCGTTGGCCAGCACCTCACCCTCTCCCATCTGCATTGCTGCCGCCTGCAGCAGCCGGAATGTCACAAAGCCATCGACCGGGTCCAGGTTACCCTCTGAGGCCACCAGTGCTGTGGACAGATCCGTCGACATCTTCCACACCATCCGGGGCCGGGGCAAATGGCGCCCGATGAAGAACCGAGGGTGAATGGCTCTGGCTAAGGCTATCGCCTGCCGATTGTACGTTGGGTCGCCTGTTGCCAGCGATAGCCGGTTGAGGGCGAACATCCATATGGTTAAATAGTGATGGTATTGGCCATCACCATCCGAGCCATGCTCTTCTATCTTACCAATACGCAGGCCACCGCCCATCGGATTGTCGTCTGTTGCGCCGGGGAGGCGACTTTGACCATCCCGCGTGCGCCCCAGCACATCATGTACTGTTTGGACTAGTCGGCATGCCAGCGTTAAATATCGGTCATCAGGCGCAGAGGCAGATGATGCCAACGCTTTCTCATACTCATGGTGTAGGGTGATGAAGTTGATCACACCGAAAGCATCAGTCCAGAGGTATCGACCGCGATGGCCTCCAGACTGCTGGGGTGGAGTCCAATCTTGGGGGTTGGTAATAGAGCGGAGGTCGCCATACAATGATTCCTGGGCTTCCTGGAAACGTTCTAGGCGAGAGACGACGTCAGGGAATGCATCTGACATGTTTCTACGAACACTGAGATATAGTGAACTATTGTAGGTTCTGGTTAAAATTCCTGGGTAATTGGATCTCCTGAACATGCAGTTGGGAAATTTCATGACCTACATTAGCCTGGAAAGACTTGGAAGCTCGTTCTGTTTGGCTTGACAGCTGCGAAGGCGCATATGGAGAGAGGGTGTGAAGTCATAATGACTGCCATTGACGGACATGTGATTTCATTTGCCGCTCGCCCAACAATAGAATTTAATGAACTTCATAACAAATTCGCATCGCTATAGTTTTCGATAACCGTGAGCCAGAATGTTTCAACATTGATACATGAATCGCAAATTGTGGAATTTTATGCGACTGTTTAAGCAAGTTCATACTATGTCACAACTCCAGGAACTATTCACAGCGGCAGCCCGACCCTTGCCGGACATTAGAGACCCCGGCTTCAGCTCGAACTTCGACAGTTTCGCGGATTATCGCCTTGTCCTTCTGGGCGATGGCAGCCATGGCACCTCGGAATTCTACACCGCGCGGGCAGAGATCACCAAGCGTTTAATCGAGCACCATGGCTTCACCATGGTAGCCGTAGAGGCCGATTGGCCCGACGCTGAAGTAATCGACCGCTACGTGCGTCAGCGTCCAGGCCCCAAGACAAAGATCGGGGGTCACTCAAAACCAATTGATCCCTTTACTCGGTTCCCCACGTGGATGTGGCGCAACCGTGAGATGCAGGAGCTGGTCGAATGGATGCGCAATTACAATGCGCAAGTGCCAGCCAGCAAGAAAGCCGGGTTTTACGGTCTCGATATATACAGTTTGGGGGCCTCGATCCGAGCAGTGATTGACTACCTCGACCGTGTTGACCCAGCTGCCGGTAAAGTTGCCCGTCAGCGATACGGCTGTTTGCAGCCATGGGTAGATGATCCCGCAATGTACGGGCTCGCTTCCGTGCGCGGGATGGAGAATTGCGAGAAGGGGGTGCTAGATACGCTCCGCGACTTGCTAAAACGGCGACTAGAGTATTCCGAAGACCGCCATGATGGCGAGGAGTACCATAGTAGTGAGCAAAATGCGTATCTGGTGCGCGACGCCGAGCGCTACTATAAGGCTATGTATTACAGCTCGGCATCGTCGTGGACACTGCGCGATACACACATGGTGGACACTCTCCGTCGAACGCTGCGTCATAAGCCCGAAGGCACAAAAGCCGTGGTGTGGGCGCACAATTCTCACTGCGGAGATGCACGATACACTAGTATGGGGACCCGGCGCAAAGAAGTGAATATCGGCCAGTTATGCCGTGAGCAGTTCGGCCGTGAGAATGTTGCCTTGATTGGTTGTGGCACGCACACCGGTACGGTGGCAGCAGCACACGAATGGGATGAAGACATGGAGGTCATGAATGTCCAGCCCTCGCGGAAGGATAGCTGGGAACGGGTTGCCCACAACACAGGAATCCCAAGTTTCTTAATCGATCTGCGGCGGGACCGCATCGATCCCAACCTGGCAGCTGCGTTCGAAGCCGAGCCTCTCCGGCTTGAGCGATTTATCGGTGTGATTTACCGGCCAGATACAGAGAAGATATCCCACTATTCAGCGGCAGACCTGCTCAATCAGTTTGATGGGTATGTCTGGTTCGATGAAACACAGGCTGTGAAGCCACTGGAAAAGCATGAGCCGGTGACGCCACGAGGAAAGGAGGAGACTTATCCATTTGGATTATAATGAGAGTCAAGTAGAGCCAGTATAATCGATCGATCGTCTGTGCACAAAAGTCAAGAATATACGAACGGAGCAATAATATTGTGATACCAGGACCATATCATAATAGCCACGTAATTTTATGCAAAATAACTTCTTTTCCGAGTTCCGTGGGGAAGTCATTAGAAACAAGCAGTTTCTCGATTTCTAATGGAATCTTGAGTCTTTGACGCTGCTCGATGTTTGTCCCTTCGGAGATTGGAGTTAAGACGGAAGCCGCAGTTAAACGACAGTATCTAACAGTCTAACCCTAGCTCGTATTTTCCCATGGCCCCCACATGTCTATCATACTCCATTTTCTATCACTATCCAGTATCTTTGATGGGAGTTCGGCCTCGAGATCGCTGGGACTGCTCCGTTAACACCGACAAACAAGATGGTGGGACATCTAATGGTTGGAAAAGATGGGTATAAATAGAGGCCACCATCAGCAAGAGGATAGCCTCTTTTAACACATCACAATCACAATCAGCACGATCTACCCAAGCTTATATTCGTTCAAAGTTCTCCCAGTATACACCCTTCTTACAACCATGTCGGCCCCCAACTCTGCGGTCTGGCTTTTGGAAGCGGGCGGACAGTTCGTGGTCAAAGAAGCTCCATTGCCTACCCCCGGCCCTGATGAAATTCTAATTAAGAACAAAGCTGTCGCGGTCAATCCCAGTGAGTTCACACATGCTGCTTCTCTTCATGCTTTCATGGGAGGTTGTTAACCGAATAATCTCAGTGGACTGGAGGATCCAGGTCCATGGACCGCACTTACCTTTTCCCAAAAAGTATCCCTTTGTAAGCATACCCCTTCTCCCTCGAGAATAGTAGCCAACAGCATGCCCAAACAGATCCTCGGCGCCGACATTGCTGGAGAAATCTACGAAGTGGGCCAAGACGTAACCACCTTCAAAAAGGGAGACCGAGTAATGGGGTAGGAGTACACCCACATCACTTCACAAGCCACCGAAGGGCTAAACTAACCTCCTCATAGGGGAGCCAACTGGTTCCTTACCAACGAAATCAGAGACTCCGGGTTCCAAAACTACACAATCTGTAAAGCTACCCTCGCGGCCCCCATTCCGGACACCATGTCTTTCGAAAGCGGGAGTGTCCTCCCCCTAGCCCTATCAACGGCAGCAATGGGCCTCTATCCAGCTGGCCGGCTTGAGCTCCCCTTACCCCAAATCCCCACACCAAAACCCATCAACAAGGTTGTCCTCGTCTGGGGCGGCTCATCGAGCACCGGCAGCGCAACGATTCAACTGGCAGTAGCATCAGGGGCAATTGTTATCGCCACCGCGTCTGCGAAGAACCATTCCTTCGTGCAGAGTCTCGGTGTGGCCAAGGTGCTGGATTACCACGAGGATAGCATCATCCATGACCTGGTTAACGCTATCCGGGATACTCCCGGGGAATTCGTGGGTGCCCTGGATGCGATTGGCGAGGAGGAGACGATAAGGAGATGTGCGGACGTGGTCAAGGGACTTGGTGGTGGACGTGTGGTCACGAACTTGCCTATGCCGATTAAGGATATTCCTGATGAAGTGGAGCTTGTTGGTGGTGAGTTTCATCTACGTCCGAAATCATCGTGATGGGAGTCAGGTGTACTGATATGTGTGAACAGTTGTTGATGTCGCGAATATCTCTGATAATAAGGAGATCTCCGAGGGTATTTGGGGCAAATTTATCCCTGAGGCGTTGAAGGATGGGACGTTGAAGCCAGTCCCTGAACCTTTGGTTGTTGGAGAGGGCTTGGAGAAGATCCCTGAGGGTGTTTCTTTGTCTCAGCAGGGCATCTCGGCGAGGAAGATCGTTGTGACCTTGTAATTGAGGTAGATATTTGCCTAGGGGAAAGTACATACGTGTATGGTGGTTGTCATTATTGTTGTTTTGTTTTGTTGTTTTGGGTTTGAATCCTGAGCACGCTAATGAATAGCTAGCCAATTGATGAAGACTTTGGACTGACTAATGACCGAGTATTCAATAATGATGTGTGCATGTAGAAATCAGCCTACAACTATTATGATTAGCCTTGCGCGGGGTTCTAGGAAGATATGTGAATTGGTCCTCAAAAGCGTCTTGGTCTTCTCTTGCTCCATGACCAGATCAGAAGCTCTCGCTAGGTCTCTTCAGAGGCTCATCCAAGTTATCTTACGCACTAAAGCCCATGTTACCGGAGTAACATGTATCTCCTCGAGTATACGAGGATCAACGAGGACTTGGGAATGCAGAACTACAGAGTGGGGGCGTAAGGAACGCAATTTGGGGTCGGGGAAAAGAAGGAAATGATTGATCGTCCTGCTTAACCAAAAATGTCTAACTTGGCCCCCTGCCGCTCTGAGGACATCTTTATCTGCAAGTAATATGCTCTGCGGGCTCCTTGGAACCTGTCATACATGTTGGTATGTTGGAGATATGTTCCCTAGTTCGGACCAATCGTCAGGCATGCTGACGATACAGGATAAATATAGGGTGCTGACTCGGCAGTCATAATGGCATGTCTTCTTAACACAGGTATGAAACTAACAACTTTTTGAGCCAGATCCGTACGTAATCAGAGGTTTCAGAGGACTCGGTGGTAAAAACTCTAAGCTACACGAGTTGTCAGATCAGGGCATCTGACATCAGATGCTCTCTCCACTGACGTCAGCTCACCGCCCGGCAATATTTGTTTACATTCTCGCCTAATCGGGCGACGCTCGCCCTTCGTTCCCTTTCTTTTTCATCCCTTCGTCACCCTTGCCACTAATTCCATCATTCCACTGCGAGCTTCTTTCCATCATTTCTTGAATTCAATTTTCACCGCTCACGTCCCATCATCATGGCGGTTCGTCGGTCCGCCCGCCTGCGTAATCGCCAGGCTTCAAATGTAAGTCGCCCACAAAACCCACCGACTGTTGATTCCAATCCATTCATTCACTTGCCCATGTTACCCTTGTATCTGTTCTCGTGAAGTACCAGACAGCTAACTTTGGTTCCTGACTGAAGGAACCGCAGCTGCCCGAGTCACCTGCCACCGTCAACAGCAACAACAACAACAACAACAAACTCCCCTCCGTCATGGAACGCGACGAAACCCCCGTCGACGTTCCCTCCAACCACACCACCACTACCACCCCGAAGTCCACAACCAATGTTCTCACCCCACACAAAGCTACTCCTGCTCCCAAGCAAACCCCGTCGAAAACACCGACCAGTGCAGTCACTCGTCCATCCCACCAAGAGATGCATCCCAGCAAGGTCCACCAAAGCACCACCAAGCAGGCGGACTCGGGCCTGATCCTAGGTTTCAACCCGATCAAGAAAGATGCTGAAGGGAAGGTGATGAAAGATTCTTTGGTCGAAACTACCCCAAGCAAGACAAAGGCGTCGCCCGCTTCGACATACTACGGCACGCCCGCCTTCGAGTTCAAGTTTTCTTCCGCCGACTCTCAGCTAAGCAATGAAGCCAAGAAGCTCATGGAGAGCGTACGCGAAGATGTTGCTAGAATCAAAGCTCAGATGGTCCAGGAGAAGGAGAGTCAACCCGCCCAGGATAGCAACGACCAGGCAGAAAGTCGCAGGATCGCCGAACCAAAGGGCCAGGCTAGTCGATTCAGCGCTGCTCATATGGCTGAATTCAAGAAGATGGATTCAATTGCTGGGCACGCGTCTGCCTTCCGCGCCACCCCCGGTCGCTTCCAGCCTGTCCAAAAGACCCTCAAGCGGACCAACTCCAAGGCACGGCTGGATGAGTCCAACCAGAATTCGCCCACCAAATCGACGACTCAATCGCCTGCCCCTACTACAGTTGGTGCCAAGCGCGTCAAACATAATAAGGGCGATGACACCTCCAATCGCTCCATTCGCCGTCAGACTGTTGGTGAGAAGAGCGCTTCAAAGCCAGCCGTGACTCGCACGGGGCCCGCTATCCGCAGTTCTTTGATGACTCCCACTCGAGCCTCCATGGCGCGTACTTCATCCACCAGTCTCAAACCCCCTCGGACAAGCATGCTCCCTCGACCATCTCTTGCACATTCCCCTACCATGAAGCAGTCGACTACCCCGCGCACGCCCCGCACGGACTTCAACCCTCGATTCAAGAGTGGCTTGCCCCAATTAAACTTAAAGTCGATCCTTCGCCCCCATCAACCTTTATTTTCGAAAGATCCCGCGAAGATCGCAGCAGGAACACATGTGGCAGCCCCCGAATTCAGTTCCAAATTCCTATTCGGCGCAACCCGCGATGCTTCGGAGGAGCCTGCACTGACCCCATCACCTAAGAAGCGCGTTGAGTTCTCCTCCAGTACTAGATTGCAGGATGATGAAGCTCTGCCATCTCCTTCTCCTTCCAAATTTACCGCTGGCTCTCCGTCCCGGGTTGTATCGGATGTTGTTTATCCCACTTTGCCGGCTCTGACACCGGAACCTGGTGCAAAGAAGTCCGATAACGAGACTAAGTCGCCCACCATCCGCCATGTCCGTCAATCAGACGCCCCTACCAACCTCTCCCTACCGGATATCCCCGGCGTTCCACATGGAATCGGCAGCAAAAAGCGACACCGCGACACCGAGGCCGCTCACGACCCTTCTCTTCCCGATGTTCCAGGCGTGCCTCATGGCATCGGCAACAAGAAAAGACACCGAGATGCAGCTGGCAGAGATGCTGACACCGAGAATGTGCCGCCAGCCGATACCGCCGCAGAAAACCGCAGTGCAAAGAGAGTCAAGCTGAGCTCCCCATCGAAGCTCTCCCCATTCAAGTTCTCCCCATCGAAGATGCCAACGTCTAGCCCCACCAAGGCGCGTTCACACACTCCTCTCCGGTCGACCACAAGTGCTAGTCGAACGGGAACCCCAGCCAGCTCACGACAGAAGAGCCGTACTGCGCTGACCATGAGCCGGCTGAACGCGCTTGCCCAGCCAAAGAACCGCTCTTAATCGTTCCTTGTCCACCATGACGAACCACTTGGGACTGCCACGACCAGTTATTGCATTTTACGAGAGTTTGGGTCGCACATAGATGCCCTTTCGACGTCGAGAACTTTCTTTCATATTCCCCAGATGAATATCCTCTGTTCCTTTTTTACGTAGATTATACCAAATCACCGGTCAGTCATTGTATTTACTTGTTTCATCGGATCTGGTCTTTCTCTCCTTTTGGGTCTGGTCTCTTTTTCACCCATCTACCTATCAGTGGGTCTTTGATCCTTGTCACATGCAGGCGTTCGGAGGCATCCGGTATGCAGGTTCTGGACGGCGTTTTGTGATCTTCTTTTTGTTTTGCCTAGGTCTTCATACCTTATGGCGATTGTTGGTTGATCGGTTGATACTTTGTTGAAATAATGAACGTACCTACAAATGGTTTCAATGATTTTGTTTCCTATCTTGTTTCACTCTACATTGTCAGTGTATAAAATCATTCCAATGAGTCAATTACACCATACAATAAACCAATACCTCCTTAGCCATTACGATAGATAAATACCCTACGATACCGTTCAGGTAGACTAACAGATCTGTCCTCAACGGACCAAATTATGCATCAAAGTAATAGGATCGAATGATATGAACAACCGCTTGTCAATATGTACACAAGTGCAGTAGTAAAAGTACAGCAGGAAAAGAAAAGAAAAAGGATAATAAAAAAAACACCACGGAAGGGAATAAAACAAGAAAGATAAATTCCCCTCCATGTCTATCCTTGATTTCGTCTTCGTAAGCACCGAGTCATTCGTTCAATCAATGATTCAATGAATCATTAAGATAAAAGTAAGAAATTCGAAAACAAACAGATCGCCGCCGAACTCCTGGGATACAGTTCATATGAAAACAAGGGGAGGAAGAGGAGAGAATCTGAGTGATGGATGTACAACACTAACCAACGCCCACCCGGGTTCAATCAGTCGTCTAATAATAAGATAGGATCAGAAGGTGAAAAGAAGAGGGGCGGAAACAGGAATAAGGCAGGAAATAATAAGAGCATGACTGGCGGATGCTTTTTTGCAGCTGAGGTATCTTTTCTGCGAAGCTCGAGAAGAATGAGCCGGAAAACTCTAGTCCACTAGTGGCACAAGAAGTTTTGTTTAGGGAAACTGATGTTTGGGAATGATTCATCTATCATCCTTTCATCGTCTGCAGGAATGAGTCCAGGTTGTATTCTTCTTGGTATTGACGGTCGTCCCAGAGCTCGCCGAGGTCGTCGAGCCAGCCCTTCTTGCCCTTTTCTTTGACTTCACCGTCGATGTCAACCATGTCAACTTCGTTGCCCGCAGCATTGTCGCTAGGCTTCTCGGCATTCTCGGCTGTTTCTCCAAGGTTGAATAGGTCCAGGAGCTGGTCTGTGTCCATTGTGTTTAGGCCTGCGTTTTGTTGGTTGACCACCGTCGATGCCACGTCGATCTTGAAGCGTTGGAGGCTGGGGTAGACAAGTTAGTATGTGTCGTGGTTTCATGAAAACTTTTTAAAACGGAAAGATAACTTACTTCAGAATCTTTTCCTCCAAAGTACCCCTGGTGATCAATCGGTAGACATTGACGACCTTCTTCTGGCCGATACGATGTGCACGGTCCATGGCCTGGATATCCTTCTGCGGGTTCCAGTCATGCTCGACGAATATGACTGTGTCGGCACCTGTCAGGTTCAGACCAAGTCCACCAACGCTAGTCGTCAGAAGCAAGGCATCGTAACTGGGATCTGTATTGAATCGGTTGACAATGTCCTGGCGCTTGGTGGCTTCCACACTACCGTCTAAACGGAGATACTGAACAGAGGGTAGAAGCTTCTTAAGGACTTCGCTTTGCACGATGTCGAGCATTTCCTTCATCTGGCAGAAGATCAGGGCCCGGTGGGGACTCACGTAGCTTGCACCAGTACCCAGGTCCCCTTCGCTTGGCGGGTCAACACCAATACCACAGTCGAGGAGGAGATCACGCAGAGCGCTAAGCTTAGGGGCATGTGCAACATCGCGGATGTAAGAATTCTTCGCATGAAGATATTGCTGGACTTCATCGTACTGCTTGTGCCCATCTTTAACGACAAGCGCGGGAGAGTTGCAGAGACGCCGCATGTACTGCAATGCTTGGAAGATGTGCTCTTTGTCGGACTTTTCTGAACTGCCCATCTTGTTCGCCAGCTGCTTCTGCTCCTTCTTCGTGAAGTCCTCAAAGAGTTTCTTTTGAAGTTCGCTAGGATCACAATAGTAGTTCTGAATAATCTTTGGCGGTAGATCGTTAAGAACTTCCTCCTTTAGACGACGAAGTAAGAAGGGGAGCACCTGTTTGTGCAAGGCCTCAATTGCCAACGCGCCGGCTTCTTGTTCCTTGGAGGACGATTTGCTGAAACGACTCGCAGCAATCGGCTTCGCGAAACGATCCAGAAATACCTTTTCAGTACCGAGGAAACCCGGCATCAAGAAGTCAAAGAGGGACCACAGCTCCAACACGTTGTTTTGGATGGGGGTACCGGAAAGAATCAAGCGGTGATTGCTTGCGACACGTTTAACAGCCAGGGTGACCTTGGCCTTTGGGTTCTTGATGAGATGTCCCTCGTCCAAGACGCAGTAGTTCCAGTTCAGCGGGGTAATAACATCACTGTCATTTCGACAAATGTCGTAGGAGGTAATAACAATGTCAGCATCGCCGAGGGAACCTTTCAGCCGAGCACGCTCTACCGGAGGTCCAACGTACGCAACACACTTAAGGAACGGGGCGTATTGCTTGATTTCTTGTTGCCAGTGTCCAGAGAGCGACGGGGGGCAGACAATTAAGGACGGAAGCTTTCTGACCTCGGGCGCTTGTGTCCGCGCAAACTCTTCGGCTCGCAAATGATGATCACTGGCGACGATGCAAATTGTTTGAAGAGTCTTACCGAGACCCATATCGTCACAAAGAATGCCATGCAAGTTATAGCGGTTGAGGAAAGCAAGCCAGTTGACACCCTCTTGCTGATAAGGTCTAAGCTCCGCCTTAATCGCCACTGGCAAGGTGAACTCCTCCACCTTCCGCACATCCAACATTTGAGACATGAACTTCCTTTCCCTCTCTCGTCCTTTGAGCAATTCCTCGGAGAGACCAGGAGGATCCGGGATACCAGCTTCTAGGGGAACAAGCTTAACTAGAGTTGCAAATGACGTTGTGGCTAGCAATCTAACATCGTTATCAGAATCGCTCATGCGACCCAAGACGGGGACGACAAGGAAGATGACATAGGGCAGAATTCCATCTTCCATCACATGGATAAGGTGGTAAATGCATTCTACGGCTCCCTGGCGGTGGTGCACATCCAGACCATTGTTAATAGTAGGCAGTACTTTCTCGACTAGCATGGTCATGCCTTCCACCGTAATGACACTGCAGACAGTTGCGAAGCACTTGGCAGCTGCATACCGGATCACAGACAGTCGACATTGCAGTGCTTTGGCAATCAGGGGCATGAGACTGACAACCCAAGGATGAAGACCAGGATTGAACTTGGGTAATAAGGCACGCAGAGTGGACAAACCATCCACGACTTCTTGGCCAAGCTCATTGTCAGGGTCGTGAATGTCTGCTGGAAGATCATTGGTGAGGGCATCTCTAAGCGGCCGTTCAACCAGAGATGCAAGGTTGGGAACTTTCTGCAAAAGTGCCGCGCCGAACTTCACAGCCAGTTGCTCCAAGGCTTCTTTAGCACCGCGACGCATAATTCTTGCTTCCTTTGCCTCCCTTTCAAACTTCGCTGCATCCGGATGGTCACGGCGGTCTTCTTCTTTGCGGAGGGATAGAATTGATTTCTCCAGACCTGCATTGTGGTGGAATTCGGGAGTCTCGGACGTATCGACACAGCAGTATTTCACCAGGTTACCAATTACCTTATCGACAGGGCCCCGCTTGGTAGCGGTGGTATAGTACTCCACCAGAGTAGCAACCGCAGTAGCAGATCGTTGTTGGAGTTCTGCATTCTCTTCCTTCTTGATACTGTCCATCATTCCCTTAATGATGTGACTTGGTTTCTTGGGGATATCATGCATGGCAACTAGAGCACCCGCTGCGGCAGCGAGGATACGCAGGTCCCTTGCTTCACGGACGCTTCTAGCTTCGTTAATTGCACTCTCTGCAGTTGCCCTTGTGTCGTTCAGAACCTGAAGAGCTGTGATGCGCTGAGCTGGTGCCAGGCCCTTCTTCAGGCGCTCGAAATCGGGTCCAACGACCTTTTCAGCGTCCGCCAGCGAGAAGGCGCTCGGCCCAGCCTCGGCATCACCTTGGACAATGACAGCCAGAACGGGCAATCTTGAACCAGGAACATGAGCGTGGTCCCGGAAGGCATTCAGCAATGAGTGACATTGTGCACGTGCAACATGAAGGTAACATGCTATGTCGCCATACCATGATGGACGGTCCCCTTCAATAATTGGGCGCAATTGTTCACACAGTACAGAAATATACGGGCTGTCCGATCCTGCAATTCTGGCATATTCCTCTATAATCATAGCAGTTGCAAGCTGGGAAGTGGATGCCGAGTGCTTGAGACCCTGCAGAATAGGCTGCCAGAGGCTTGGAAGTCCGTTTTTATCCCAAAGAGAGAGCAAGTGACCAAGAGCCTTTGCAGCATGGATCTTAGACCGCAACATGGTGTCCACACCTACCAGGTCAATATCACCTTGCAGCATATGGCCATCGACATTGTGAGCTGAAGGTGGGAGCACCTCTTTCTTCTCTGCCTTGCGACCCCTCTTCTTGATCGCATCAGAGGTATTATTAAAGGCACTTGGCGAGGACTTTGCTGGTGCAGCTGCGCTCATTGGGAACGGTACACCAGACGGCTTGATGAAGAGGGAGGCATTCATTGGGATGGGATAGCGAGGAACGCCGAAAGGAGCCACACTTAGGGTAATAAGAGGTTGGATGTGAGACAAGAGTTCGGCTTCTGATTTGAAGGCCCCGTGCTTGTCGAGAGCTTTGAGTAGTTCTGACCAAACTTGAAGAGATAATTTCAAAACAGCCTCATTCCGCTCCACCAGTAAATTCTGGAAAATCAGACGGAGCGCCTTGCCATTGATCCATTCATTAGTGCCATCTCCTTCTAGCTGCAAGAATGTCATGAGGGCCCGAAGAACGGCCGAGCGCACGCTCGTGATTGTATGTCGCAGGAAAGGATAGAGGCGAGGAACAAGGTTGCCAAACGACGACTCGGGGTCTACAGCTGCATTCGCTTTCATAGCATCGAGAACTTCACGGAACGTGCATAGCTTCGCGAGAAGGTCCATCACTGATCCAGTGCTGGCACTGAGGTCATCTTGCAGATTGGAAAGGCATTCCCAAACGATGTTCATCAAAGTGCCGAGCGTGTTTTGTCGAGAGGTCACGAATTCCTCTGCGATAGGAACAAGAGTTGCCGCACTCACTGCACGCACATCGTCGTCGTAATCACCCAGGCCCTTCATGACTGCCTCCAGGACACCGTCCATGAGCTTTGCATCCTTGACGAGCAAATCTTTCCGGACTGCCACCAAATACCGGAGACCGATCATACCGCCATGGCAAACTTCCCAAATGGGGCGTTCTAGTCCTAGGTCATTTTGCATGATGATCCGGTATAGGCATCTATAGACGGCGATGACGGAACGGGATGGGAGTTGAGACAGGAGAGCACCTAATGTTTGACCTACAGTCTCCCGGATGGGAGCGACAACGTTGTCAGAGATATAGTCGCCGAAACGGTCAAGCATGAGAACGCAAAGAAGGCGACAAGCAAGATCATCCAACCATTTGCGATTCAAGGTGTCATTTTGAGATCTGCTCTTCCCTCGCAAGCGCCCGGCACCGGCACCTTGAACGCGGATGACCTCTCGGAGGGCCATCGCAGCCCCATGTCGAACTTCCCAATTTGGATCAAACAGATCGACCATGAGAAAATCACACATTGGTTCATAGGGCCATGCGATGCTGGGGCCTTCGTCGGATGTCTCAGGTTGAATTAGAGGCTTTTCTGGAGCGGCCTCTCCTTTGAATTCGGAGACGATCTTCGAGTCGTCATCGCCAGACGGTCGTTCAAGAGAGAAGTAGTCTGGTTTCGAATCGCCGTTCCGCTCTTCTCCGTTCTCTGCTTTAATAGGGTGCGGAGTCGTCACTGACGGTGTCGTAACGTCGGACGTCTTCCGCGCAGAGAGATCGACGACGCGCACTTTATTCGCACCCATCTTCGCACTCTGTTTATTTTTTCGTTTCAGCTGATTCAGTTGCCGCTTGCTCAGTCCGGACTCCTCCCCGTTAGCAGGCTCGCTTGGCGTCGACACAGGAGCTGAAAGTTGATGATTGTTCTCCCGGGAAGCAGCCGTATGAGATGGATCTTCCTTGATAGCCGGAGTCTTCAAAATTAAATCAGTGTCATCGATCAGGTCTTCCTCGATATACTCCCCTGCAAGGCCCAACCGGGAGTTCAATGTCTTTTTCTGATGCTGCAACCGAGATATTGGATCCATGGCGGCCAGCGAGTATTCATATTCCTTGCCAGCGCTACCTAGTAGCCTTTTTCCGTACTTCAAGATCGAGGTTAGATCCAGACGTTCTAGCTGAAAAAGTTCATGCGACGGAGATAGTTGTGCCTCTTCGGATTTAATCTCCACCGCGAGATCGTCATCATCGTCCACCTTTTTGATCTCTAGGCCATCCTCTTCATTGGGGTCAAAGAGGTCAGCATTTGTGACAATGAGGCCGATCGCCTTGGCGGAAGCTGTTCTGGTATCCCATGATTTCGACTTGAGATAAGGCAGGATACGCCCCAGCAAGTTGAATAATTCATCTGGATGTTGCTTCTGAACATCTGCCAGTTGTTGGGCGGCAGTGTTCCGGATGAGAGGCGTGCTGCCCGTCTCAAGCAAGCTGTGAGATTGATTAACATCGACCTTCCCAGCACAAGAACGGTTAAGTATAATGAGACTCACGTGACCAGACGATCCAACCTGTCCCGAGATGGTTAGCGTGGGATACTAAATATGACAGGGCTGGGCGATTAAAATTTACCTGGAGGTCATGGCGGGCAATCACCTCTTCACAGAGAAGGGTGGAGGTGGGGGGAGAGAAGAAGATGATTGAGGTTGTATTAAATAAACGATCAATCGTGAATGAATAAAAAAAAAAAAAAAGGTGAAAAATGAAAACAATAAAAAAGAAAAGAAAGTTGCCAAGCCCAAAGAGTTCCGATGACGCCTCAGATATTATAATGGGGATCCTTCCAACTTAGTTAGTACGCGGAAGGTCTTAGTCAGGTAGGTAAGGAATGTAAAGTATACCGAACCGTTACACCCACGTCACAGCCATTTGACGGATGGAACTAAAAGAGAAGACAGAGACGGGGGGGAAATAAGGAAATGTAGGACGATCGGTCCGACAGAGTGGAGAATTAAGGTAAACCTGAAGAAAAACAAAAATAACAGAAACTAGATGAAGGGAGTTTCACACTATTAAGTCGATCATCTGTGAGGCCCAAAGGTATTAAGAAAATAAAGACCATAAAGAAACTTTTCAGCATAAAGACAGCAGAAAAACAAAAATGGTAATAATAAAAATAAAAAGAAGAAGCAGAAGAATAAATATTAATCCCCAAAGTGGAGAGGGAAAGGGGAGTCCTCGGTGGTGGTAGTAAAAGAGCCGAATATTAAAGTATGGGCCGTCAAGCTCCCAGGAGGTATCAACAAGTCGTTCCCGTCGTGCTTTCGTTTTCCCCCTCGAGGTCACGCAGCCTGTTTATATCATTGGGGGCATCTTTGGCTGGGCGCGCCTACCCATGCTTGGGCCCTGTACTAACCCCGAACCGGCTTAGATGCCCCCACTCCCGTAAAGGTTTTCCAGTGGTCACGTGACCCTCCCTGCGCCAACCTCACGATCGACGGCCGCGAAATTGCTGCCAATGTCCATCATCATGATGAGACTCGCGGCCGAAGTGATCCGTGGGTTTTTAGCTGCAGGTACCACTCTATCCTTATTCCTACGACCGGAAGGTCTCAAGTTGATCTCGGATATCTAAAGAGATCACGAGAAGTAGAGTGTCCACCGGATCATTTCTCGTTCCCTCCCCGTATAAGTTTTCCGTAAGCTTGTGTCGATTCTCCCCAAACATGCCAAGAAATGCCAGATGGTCTCATCGTGAAGGAAGGGGATTCTTTTGTCCACTCACACGTCGACCGAGAGACGACCCTAATACAATTCCTTGTCCCATGCGAAAGCCTCTCACGCGGTGGTCTCCAATGTCTGCCTCAGGCGATGATTACTAGTACACGTTGCTTGATTCTCCAATCAAACGGCACCTAATGTAGTTTATATATATAATCTGTGGAGTACTTGGCCCTTTGCCCTTAACATATTCAAAAGTAACACCCTCACCGTCCTAATGTTTCACTGCCACCTACAATACTTCCATACTGGCGTACTGGGTCTTCCTTGCTATTCTCATTAGGGGGAAATCAAGTCTACTACCTAGTACATATCTAAATCTAAACAAACAGTACCAGCGGGAACGATCGTCGTGTCGTCCCGAAACACGGGGTTGCGGTGGTTCGCAGCATTTACCAGCAGACATCACACTCTGCAATTTTCGTCGAAAACAGCGCGCATAATAGACTTGTCCATTTCTATACACTGAGGGACTCCAAGTAGGAAATAACAACACGACATTGGTGGTGGTAGTAAAAACAACGAAAACAGAACCGCACCCCTAGTGTGCACAAATTCCCCTTAAGCCTTCGTCAGTAAAGCAGATGCCTCTTCTTCCTTCCCTAGCAGCCCCAAACTGCGAATCTGCTCTGCCTTGGGCGCGTTCTCCCGGGGGTGCGCGGCTTCGGCCTTCCGGTAGGCGGCCTGCATCTTCATCGTTCGCAAAGCCTGGAGGTCCATGATGTCAGAATATACCGGAACCATATATAAAATCACCAGGACATTCGACTGTGTCTTGAATTGACGGGTGAGGGGCCATTGTGCAAGGGCGAAACCCTACCTCTTTTCTGTGGTGCAGGCACTCGTAGTAATCCTCCAACGCGGGCATACACTTCTTCTTGCCGGTTTCACCATCGCCGGCGTTGACGACATAGCAGCCGAGGACTTCCTGCCAGAAGTTGTAGCAGCGGGAAGGACCTGTGGGAGAACGCAAGTATTAGCCGGGGAGGTCTATCGAAAGAACCGTATCGCGACCGAGCACCACGAAACCATAGCCGATTGTGACCGCAATTGCCACATCAATTACTATAAAAAGAACACATACCGCCATTGAGACCGAAACCCGAAGCCATTGTGTGTTTGGTGGTAGATGAGAGGAGGGGAAAGCGAGCGGGCACAGCGTGTAGGAGCGGAGGTCAGGATGCGATGAGGTTCTTCCGGTCGATTCGCCGCTTTCCGCCCAAGTTGGTCCGAGCGTCAACGTTTGACGTCTTTACTAAGTATTGCTCCCGACCACATCACCCTCTTTTATTTTCCCTCATTTCCCCCGGCGAATGAGCCGCTGTTGAACGCCATGGCGATTCCTGGTCGACTATCCGGTGCTCATGCGATTCTTCTGGCTACCCATCTTTGTGTTACTGGGAATGTCTCCCGCTTACCACAGGTCCAAGCCCAATTTCCAGCCTATCTTCCTCTTGAACGAGTCCTTCGCATCATCTTGACCTTTCTACCGGAAAGCACAGCGCCCCAGTCTTACACGCCAGTACTCCAAGAGCTTTTAGATGGTCGTCGGTCGCAAACGGATGGCGACGATATCGATGTTTCTCTAGTCGATAGTTTCTCTGAGGCTGCTGCCAAGAAACGTGTACGGACACTTCGGTTACTACCACTCAAGCACCACGACGATGAAGACAGTCAAGACCCAACCGACCTTTTAACTCAATTCCTCATACATCGGGCATATCGTATAGATCTCGAAACTGCCCTTCAACCTCTTATCCTTGAGCTTCTTTTACCGTTCTACCAGCGCTTACCGACTGTGCGGACATGGTTAATCTCTAGCTTACTACCGCTACTCCGACTCAACTACGAATACTATCCCAGTCAGGATGAGACATTCTCCCTGGACCTTCTAGAGTCGATGGACAGCCACACCGCGATCAATGTACTTCTTTCGATGACGGGCGCTCAGAAGAACAGCATGGATTTAGTGAACAACTTACGCGGACTACTTGGCCCGTGGATGTACGGGAGCAACCGGTCGAAAAGGCGTAGACTCAACCAGGCTGCGGAGGCCAATTCCATCTCCCTCCCTCAAGCTAACACCCAACAACAGAGTAATAACATCTCTGGATGGCAATATGTGAACGAGTGGCTGCTGGCACGAAGCCTAGTAGATTATGAGAGCATTGTGAATGCCTTCCTTAACTGGGATGGTCCAGAGGATGCGGATCTCGGAGGGTTTGAGGAAGGAAACCAAAAATATAATCACGATGTGTCGAAGGACCTGAATATCCGATACGGCCAATCGGGACTTGCTGTTATCTATTCGACTTCCGATACAAGCAAGTCTTGTCTAGAAGGCTCTACCAAGGTCCTTTCGCGAGTTGCCAAGTTGTTGAGTCTTGAGGATCAATTGTTCATCTCGGCTAACAACTCAGCACTTCCTTCGGTGACATTTAATGCATCTCAGATCTCTTCGTCGTCGAGGGTGTCCCTTTTGCAGAATGCTTTGTTGGTGGCATCGAACCCATTAACATGCCCATCTGCTTCCTCTATATCGTTCCTCAGCGCCATCCTCCTCTCCATCAAGACATTAGCCGAACTTGGACATTCTGTTACATGCCGAACAGCTGTCAACATTTGCCTTCATAGTAGCCAGGAAACGCAACTACATGAATTACGAAACGTTGTGTCTTCTATTGTAAGACAAACAAAATCCAGCCATGACTGGCGGGGCGTTCGCCAGCAGATTCTCTGGCTGCAGCATTGGGGCTCGGACAAAACGGAGGGGAGTGAAAGTAATTCACCCTGTCATGGCCTCTTTTGGAGGGTCTCACGAGATGTGGTGGAGGCAGAGGCCTTGAAGGCATTGCTAGAGATCAAGGGTGAGCAAAATATATCCCAGCTTTTATATTGCGGAGACTAATCAGTGTAGAATTCAACTTGGCCGTTGATATCTATATAAATTCCCCAACTGCCCTTAGCTCAGCCCAAGTTGAAGAAGCCGTCAAAGAGGCCATTTTCACAACTTATGATAATGCTAGTAATGGAAACAGAACTAGGGGAGGCATGAAGCGAGCGTACGATATGTAAGTCGTGGTACAAATGAACAGCAGGTCGACCCAGGAGCTAATTATTATCCGCAGCTTGCAAGCCTTCCAACCACACTTCCCGGAATCTGTCTCCTTCAAGGAGATTCGTGCCCTCATATCAGCAACTCATGCTCTATCCTTCTACTCCCTCACTTTGCAACATGGTGTTCCTTTTCAACCCGTCAGTATCCGTGTGCACTCCGATCCCCTTTCCTTGATCGAGAAGGTGCTTGATCAAAACTCAAAAGCCTACACCAAGGTGGATGATCTTCTCGCAATCGGAAGAAATCTGGTTGCGGCTGGTTTTTCGTCTCGCCTTTCCGATAGCGACGACGTAGACCTTCCGCCTACTTCTGGGGAGGATACCGTTGTCACAGCCGAACGACGTATTATGTCGCTCGCAATTTCGTCAGCTCTCTCATCCAATGATTTCGGTACCGCATATTCTTACATCCTCACGCGTCTCACTCCTCCATCTCTCTTATCCACATCCTCACCCCTTACAAATCCGGCCGTAAGGGATGACATCTCCTGGCGTGCTGTCTACAATGCTGGCCGGTACCGTGACCCTGCGCTGTCCTCCTCTTCCAACCTCCAGGCTCAAATAACCCAACTCTCCCAACGAATGGAACTTCTTTCTCTTGCCCTGATCCTCGTCCCTTCTCCCGACCCACTCCCTGAGATCCTTGGCGCCTGGCGACGGTGCGACGAGGAGATGAACGGCCTTCGCGCACGCGAAGCCGAAGAGGAAGAACTATGGGACACCAAGGGAGACAACCTCTCATCTGTCCCTGGCGGCTTCGGACCAACAGACAGCGAACAGGACGCATATGAAACAAAGAAACAACACGCCAGACGTGCTCGAGCCCATAACGACCGCCTCAACGCTGAAGAAGCCCCCATGGGCCTCTTCGAAGTTGCCCGGGGCGCCGCGTTGGCGCTCCACAAGAACGCGTTCCCGCTCAACGGCGCTACCACGACCGCCGACCAACAACCGACGTCATCATCTCACGCTCGCGGACTCAGCGAGGACTCCACAGAGGAGAGAGTGCGTAAGCGAGATGTGGTCAGTAACATGGTGACAGGCGGATTAGTCAACGGTATCGGATGGGTCTTGGGTGCTCAACCAGTGAACCGCTAAGACCATACGCCCCGATTTTCATGATGAGTACGACGATGGTTCTTTATTCTGGCGGGTCTTTCAATAATGCTTCCATCATGTGATATCCTGTACAAGCGACTTTGCGCGGTGTTTCTAGCAATTTATTCTAATCATCATCAAAATACATAATTCTCAAATATAATATAAACAACAATCCATTGAGAATTGGCGCCTGAATATCAACCCGATTTGCATGGGGTGTGGAACGATATATTTTATATATTAGGACTGGGTACATTGTTGTGCAGCAGAGCGAAGCGTAGCAAGCATTATATATATTCCGCTAAAGTGACTTGAATCGAAAGACGCGCTAGAATAACCAAGAGCAGACCTTACGTCAGACTTGGTCTTGGAAATGCTAGCCAGGGCCTTTTTTATTTGGTTATTGTATTCTTCGTCATATGAGAGTTGGACGAGGGATATGGATTAAGCCCCATTTCTGACTCGTTTGTTAAGTACTACAAAATCAATAACCCTTCGTCAAAATACTTGATTTTGATTGATTTTTGGGTAGAATGCCCGAGGTAAAGCAACTTCCAGTAGAACCTGTATATATATATATCTCTCTCTCTCGTTAGTTGTCCGATCACTTTCGGCCATATAGAATATTCAATATGGTGTGTGAAAGCCATTTACTGAGATCCTGAAAACAAAATGAAAGCTATAAGAGAAAATGCTGATGATATTCTGCGCTACTTTCTGTATGCAGTATAATCTGCCGATATACAGAGGATCTTTTCCATCTCACAGTTGCTATGCTCTTAGATAACAGAATCAAAATAAACAAATGACAAGCTTATACAATATGTATGTGCCGAAGAGAAAGAGGCTCAGAGAAAATACGAGATGGTATGAAAATGAAGACAAAAACACCTAAATAACAACTTCTCCCACTTGTGTCCCAAGGAAAGCAGCAATAAAACAAGGGACAAAACCGAGAAGCGTCAGCACCGCTGGCCGCTGGCAGTTTTTGTGCAAAGAAGACCTCGGCTGGCAACGAAGCCGAGGCTGAGAGGGCGGATACAACTGCCCATGATGGATCAGCAAAAATAAAGGAAAGACATGCATGATCAGGTAAAAATCAATCCCAACTCCATCAGTCCAGTAACGATAGACGTTGCAATGCGGCAAATGAGCGTCGTCATAATCACAAATCGTATGCTTTTGACAACCTGGTCAACCAACGGCCAGCCACTGGTAAGCGTAAGAAGGGACCGTAAAGATGCGATATATTATGATGAAGAGTAGCAGTTAGAGGCATGGAGGGAGGGAGGTTGCAAAGGAATGAGTGGTGCTGCGGAGAAAGTTCTAGTTGTCCCAACCCCACACCTGTCGCACGAAGTTCGCCATGTTGACTTTTTTGTTTTTCATGTCCAGCATCCAAGGATGATCCAGCATCCGCCATGGTGTCGCTCTTCGTGGAGGTTCTTTCTCGAGACTAGCAAAAAGTTAGGTCCTCCGCACGGTCAATGCTAACACAAATGGGGTTACATACCAGCATTCTATAAAGTACTTGAAGCTATCAGACCAGCGAATACCGTTATCCGGCTCATCTTTCAATTTAGGGATCGGTTGGCGGACGATGTATGTAAGGAGGTCGATTAACCCAGCGCGAGGCTGCATTTCAGTTCCATCGGCTGGGAAGGGGAAGCGATGCTGGGCGACTTCAAGGAGCGTTACGCCTAGAGACCAGACGTCCGATGTAATCGTATATGATTGACCAGTGATCCGTTCGGGGGCCATGTAGTAGGAAGTGCCAATGAATGTATTGGCATCGCCCTTGGTGCCGAACTCTCCACTAACGCCAAAATCGCATAGCTTGACTTGTCCGTTGCGGCACAGAAGAATATTCGACGGCTTGATATCTGCATTCTGGTTAGTGTGTGGAATGAATTAATCATTGTGAGCAAATTGAACACACCTCGATGAATAATCTTCCTGCTATGCAGATATGTTAAACCGTTCAATACTCCTTCTGCGACCTTACCCAGCACTTTCTCTCCTGTTCGACCTCCTAGCTTCTTCACTTCTTTGTAGATACTGTCTAGACTGCCACCCTCGCAGAACTCCATCGCGATCGAAATTGTGCCGGTGGACTTATCCATGAATGCACCGTAATACCGACAGATATGTTCTGAGGCACAGTCCTTGTTGAAGTTGAGCTCCCGAACAATCTGCTTCTTCACATCTGGGTTTGGATCGGTTGTGATAATCTACAACGATCGCATGATTAGTAACGAGGAGAGATAAAATATGAAGGTTGGAGCCCCTTCTGAAAGAGCAAAAGAAAGTGAAATAAACCCACCTTCAACGCGAAGACGGTCTTTCCCTCCTTGAGCTTGCAACGAGTGACCGCACCTCCCGCTCCCTCACCCAGACTGCCCAACTCCACAATCTTCTTCTGTTCACTGGCCGCGAGCCAGCCTTCATCATCCAAATCGTCAACGTCCAATGGCCTGCCCTTTTCTAAACTTAACTTGTCGAGATCTGGAATTAATCCGTTTACGCTGTTGTCTCGCTCCATCTGCACACCTCCTTCCCGATCGGAGTAAACTGAACTAATAGCGGAAGACGGATCCGGAGTACTACCCTGTGGTTGACGAAGACCCATGGCGAATGATAACGCTGAGTAGTTTGACGATGAAGCAGATGCCGGGCCACTAGCCTTTCCATCCAAATAGTTGAAGCTACCTGACCGCGAGTGTCCGTTTGGTTCGTTCAATCCACTGGTGGCTAGAGGCGGGGGAGCTGGACGACCATTGACTTGTTGGATATTCTTACTGCTACCCATCGGAGTCGCAAGTCGCAGTTGTGGGGGCGCCGGGCGGGTGGACGGGCGCGGGAGTTGTGGCACTTCGGGGGCTAAAGCGGGAGGGTGGACGGGCGCTGGAGCAGGTATCCCGTTACCGGTGACGGGACGAGCGTTGGGTGATGGGGGAATCCCCAAGGTGAGCTTTGGAGGTCGGGGGCCATTGCTGTTGTTGCGATTACCCGGCACGGGCGGTTTGAGGAGGGGAACCGCGGGTGTTGACATGGCGAGGTTGTCTTGCCTCTCCCCAGGCAAGAACAACTCGTTGGGGTCAGCCAAGGTAGCCAGATCGGCGGTATTTGATTTAGACACCTTGAAAAAAGAATGAAGGGTTCAAGAGAGCAAAAGAGAGAAAGTAACAGGAAGATTGGTAGAATGAGAAGTGGACGTTCGGAAGCACGAACGATGGCCGTGGGGCTGAACACGCGGCAAAGGCGACTGAGATAAGAGGGGTTGGTTTCTTTGATCGAGCGACAGAAGAGCGAGCGCGCGAGAAAGCGGAGGGGGAAATGTAAAGCTTAAGTTCTGAAGTTCTTGAATATTGAGAATTGAAAAGAGGAAAATAAAGCAAACAAGCGAATGTTTGATAAGAGGCGAGACAATAAAGGTCTCGATTACAAGACGAAGAGAAGGTCGTTATGTAAGAATGTTGTAGTAGTAGTGAGTTAGTGGGAGTACCGAAGTAGGAGGACAGGGAGGAAAAAAGGGAAGAAAGGAAGAAAGAAAAAGACGAAGGGATGGAGGATTGATCAAAGATGATGACGGTCGGAAAGAGTTTCAATTAATATGATTATGAGGAGGCGAGCGAGTGTGAGAGAAAAAAGCCGGATTGGATTGGATTCAAATGGGGCCCGTTTTTGTCAAGTTGTCAGTCCGTCAGTCAATCACAAAGTGGCTAAAAAAGGCACGCCGGCGGTTGGACTCAAAGATTGTAACTCTTGACCTTTTGGACCTTCATTCAGCTAATAATATTCCACTGTTCATCCCTCTCTGGGATTAGTGCCAATCATAAGGCTCCGCCAGTGGACACTCGGACAGACGATGTTGACTTGACTCGGTGGAACCAGTCAGTTTCAAAAGGCGCCTAAAGACCGTTCTTTATTTGATACTTGGGTCTTGGTGCTTGTTCTGCGGCCTTGCGTTCCTTCAGATGCTATTATTATATGCTATCAACCTCGTTAGTTCAGGGACCGACTCCATTTTGAGTATAGAGGCAATTCTCAGGTCCCAGAGTTCTGTCAGTAGGTTTGTTGTATCTGAGATCCGTCTGTCGGTTCCCCTTCGTAGCGTGATCCGGTTCCTGACCCCTCAGGCATTTCTAGGCATCCATAAAATGACCACCGCAAAAAAAAAAAAAAAAAAAAAAAAAGAAAAACGCGTATAAA